CTCAGTGTTGAATGCATAAGCACAAACTAGCCAGCAGAATGTTACAACTATATAGGGAAAGCTCAAACAGATACTATGTGGTTTCAATGAGTACAGAATTCAAAAGTAATTCAAAGAGGAAATGCTGTAGGACAACTGGGGGAAAAGAGTCACAAGGCAATGCAGAACAGATTGACTTCAAATTATCAACCCTGATGTCTTTTTTCCTCATGTTCTTTCTCAGCAGCTGAGTGGAGAATAGAGGAAAGAGCTAACTCCTCCAGGTGGCCCCAAAGGCAGGTCACATTGACAAAATGAGCCCTCTATGGAGAGGAGGAATCTTCAGTCTTTTGACTCTGCTTTCCAAGGAAGATCAGAGTTGCTTGGCCGCTCCTGAACCTATGCTTTGGAATACCTTTCATCCCCTTTAAAAGAAGCTAGTCCTCTCTCCTGTCTGGGGTTAGCTGAGAAGGGCTGCCTCAAGAATATTCCTTCTCAGAATTTCCGTGGCAACAAAACTTATCTATCTTCAGCATTGCCCAATGTTCATGGCACAGTGGTAAATTTGGAAGTACAGGCACACACTGCAGTTATCCAAGAGTAATAAAGGACCTGGCAGAACTCTCAGAACCATGATTATCTTTGAGAAATCATGGAGGGCTGGGTGCTGTGCCAGATGTCTGGAGAAGAACTAATGCTGTTCCTCTCTTCCAAAGGGAAAAAGGATGTGGCTGCAAGAAAGGCAAATGACTATTCTGGGATGCATAAATAGAAGTTTTTCTTGCATACCATATGAAGCACTAGTTTCCCTCTACTCAGCACTGGTTAGACCTCATCTTGAGTACTGTGTCCAGTTCTGGGGCACTACAGTGTAAGAAAGATGCAGACGAGCTGGAAGGGGTTCAGATGAAGGCAACAAAGATGATCAGGGGCCTGGAAACAAAGCACCATGAGAAGAGATTGAAAGAACTGGGCTTGTTTAGCCTTGAGAAGAGAAGAAGGAGGGGAGATATGATAGCACTCTACAAGTACTTGAAAGGTTGTCAGGAAGGAGGAAGCCAGGCTCTTTTCTCAATTATCCCAGACTTCAGGGTGCAAAATAATGGGCTGAAGTTACAGGAAGCCAGATTCAGACTGAACATCAGGAAAACTTCCTGTTAGAGCAATACAGTGACTGGAGCAATGGCCTCAAGGTTTGCTCTCCCACACCGGAGGTATTCAAGACCCAACAGGACAAGCTTCCATTAGGTATGCTTTACCTGAGAGTCTTGCTTTGAGCAGGGAGATGAACCAACTCCCTTGTTGGCCCTTTCTAACTCTACTGTTCTGATTCTGCAACCCTAGCGTTCCAAAAGTCAGGCAGTGAACCATATCGCTCCTTTGCCTACTCTAAACATGAAATCAATGTAACTATTAGGTATGGATTTAAAGCAATGTTTGTGGTTTTGGCCCATCATACAAACGAACAAGTAAAATTCTGTCTCAAGAAATATAACTTGGTTTCATCTACAATACACTATGAAGTGTTTTGCAGCAATTCCCTCAAGGTTTTATTTGTGGTATTATTTTTGTTTCAAGCATTGTATAAAACGTGTAAGCAAATGAGGTGGGGGTAGAGGGAAACAGTCCTATTTTTAGGAGTGGAATATAATATTCAAGGAATATAATATTCTTCAACCTGCTGTTCATGCAGAGAGCAGGCATTGTATACATAAGAAATCATTTTAATTATTGCAACCTTATCTGCAAAGGGCATTAATGTCCTTCTGATATCAGACTGAGTAATCATTCCTTACCAAATTCTGCTTAAGATTATTCATGCAGGCACTGAGACTTCATTAAAACACAAAGCAAATTTCATGTTTGAGATGAAGGTCAGTATTGTAATGATGATACTGTAGTTGTATCAGTTTCACGTGTGCAGCCTCCCATTTACTTGAGAAGGTACTTGCAACAGTAAACTCATTAGTCACACCTCACTGTGCTGTAGGATCTCTATTCACATGCAGTGAATTTTAACATGACAGATTTGGACCTCCAGTCTCCCCTACAAACTAAGCAAGACTCAACGGCAGCATCTTACAGGGACTTGTGATTTTGAGATTATAGCCTAAAACGTGGAGTAGCCTGTATGGTCCAATCCCTTGATGCTGAAGAGCAGCTCTACTAGATCAGGCAGAAGGTCTACCTAGTCTAGCATCCCACTTGCCATAATGGTCAACCTTGTGTCTCTGGGAAGCCTGTAAGCTGGACACAAGGACAATAGCCTTCCCTTGTTGTTGCTCAGTATCTGGTATTCAGAAGCATATTTCACCTGAATATGAAGGTCACTTTCCCCAATCTGGCACTTTCCAGATGTTTCATTTCAGTTCCCAGCAGCCTGATTCCTATGGCCAGCGGTCAAACATTCTGACAGTTGTAGTCCAAAACATTTGGACACCAGGTTGAAACACAAGCATGAGGACACCAGGTTGAAAACGGCTGGAATAATGCAATCAAGACTGGATTACTATGTTCTTCATCAATTTGTCTAATCTCCAAACCAAGTTCAGTATGCAAAAATGTGGATTAAAGGGGAATAGGATAGCACTAATTTTTGAGTGCTTTCATTTTGCTTCCAAATTGAAGATATTATAGGAAATCACAAGCCTGGCATTAGCTGGAATATTTAATATGTATTAATAGCAGGCTTTTCCTACATCTTTTTCTTTAGAGCCATAAGATTAAATTGTCTTCAATTCCTTCTCAATTCTTGAAATTATTCAAGGGATGAATATGATGATGATGATGTTCGTCCATCGTTTTCAATGAGGACCTTGACATCTAACGGGTTGTGAGTTGTCCACGGTGTGTCCGCAGGTGGCTGATAAGGCCAATACAGGCACGGAGTGTTCTACCACATGTCAGGCAGACATGTGTGGGCACCACTGTTGTAACGTTTGCAACTCTGGCTTTAGGGAGTGCTCGCTTCTCTTGTGCTATGGTTGTCCTTCTGGCTTCAGAAGTTTGGCAGCCTTGGTGGATCAGTGTGCACTATGTTGATCAGTCTTGTGCCAGGGTCTCCCAGGAGGTGGTGTCAATAACCAGGGACTTGAGAGAGGCTTTCAGCGTGTCTTTGTATCGCTTTTGTCCCCTGTGCGATCGCTTTCCTTGAGACAGCTCACCACAGAAGAGCCGTTTGGGGATGCGGTGGCCTGGCATCCTCGCAACATGGCCTGCCCAGCGTGTCTGGGCTTTCACCAGCAGGGTGTGAACTGATGGCAGGCCTGCTCTGCAGAGGACCTCTGTGTCTGGCACCTTGTCCTGCCACCGGATCCTCAAATGTCTGCAGAGGCAAGTCGTGTGGCTTAGTTGCCTAGCGTGCCTCCTGTATACTGTCCAAGTCTCACTGGCATACATCAGGGTAGTTAGCACTACTGCTCGGTAGACTTTAAGGTTTGTAGCAAGGCTTATTCCACGGCGGTCCCACACTTTGGTCCGCAGTCTGCCGAATGCAGAGCTTGCCTTGGTGATTCTGCAGTTGACCTCGATGTCAATTGTCACTGCGTGGGAAAGGGTGCTGCCAAGGTATGTAAACTGGTATGTAAAGGTATGTAAATGAGTATTGGTTGTAGTGGAAAAGCTGAGATTAACAAACCACAGGCGAACACTCCATAGTTCCCAATTCAACAACAAACCATGGGTTCTTTTCACAGATGGTTCATGGGTAACAAGCCATGCCTGTTAGTGTAGCTGTGTTCAGATAACACAATGACTCACTTTTCAACAATCCACAGTTCAATAACACACAGTCCTTGAGTACACATTACCATGTTGTCTGAACCCAGCCACTGTGTTTCTGCTCACACAATCTAGGATCCACAACATATTAGCATTTTATAACTCAACTGTCTTGTCATTTACATTTTAACGTGTGAATTCTGATTAAAACCCATTTTATGCTTGCCTATATAGGATATTTTTCTTGCAATATTTTTTTACTTCAGTTTGGATATAATTTCATCTTACTGAACAAATTGGTTGAGGCTTAAATCACTGACATAGCTGACCAATTACATTTAAGTAAATAGTATGAAGGTTATTTTTATATGCAGTTTTAAAGTGGCTTTCTAGTACCTTTCTTGTTTTAGGCAATATTCGTTCACCAAGCTAACATAGCCCCTTACATCTGTGAATATGTAAAAGAGTTTTGCTTAAAACATTTTACTTATTTTCAAATGTAAATGTTTCCAAAGACTTATTTGCTACATCATTACAGAGTCAAAGTCCTAGCTCTGGGTATTTCATAACCTTTTCATTGTTTTATTTCAGACTCATCTGTTTGGTTTATATGAAAAGCTGTCAAAATCCAACTGATTGAATTACACAGTGTAGCAAGCCCATCTCCAATACATTGAGATCTTTTATGTTGTAGATGGCCTTATATCTAAACTCTCCCACTGTGGTAGTTCTACTTATTCAGAAACACTAATAGTTTGGTGTTTTGTTTTGGATTTTGACCAGTTACAGCAGTGACCTAGGCCTAGAAAGAATGGGCTACACAATCAGTTCAATTCTGCACTCAGTGTTTTTCTAACATTGCAATCCTATATATGCCTACTCAGACATAAATCCCATTGCGGTAACTGAGAATTAACACTAAAGCCCCAGACGGAAATCCTGAAGTCTCTCCTAAATTCAGCAGGACTTACCTTGAGTAGGCATGTTCAGAACTGGACTGTCTGCACCAAGGCAGCACCTAACATAGCATTTACATTGGCCAACAACTAGAGTGGTATTTTAAATATTTGTTCTTAAATAATATGGACTATAAATGCTATTCCACCATTTTTCTGTTTATTAGATAAAAACTTACTTTATTAATTTTAATCCTTTGTGCAAACAGGTCCGCACAGGGATGCATTCATAGTCTACATTAAAAGAGAACTTGCAGCAAGGAGCTGTCCAAGAATATTGAAAATAGGTTACTTTTAACCCTTTGAATAACACCAGATGATAAAATTAAAACACAATTCTGTTTATTAAAAAATATGACTTCCTACTTAGGTTTATTTTTTTTCCTTTAATACAGTTCAGCATTTCAAAGTTTGGCATTCTACACACTTTCTCATTTATTAGCATCAAAACACAAGACATAGCAAGACCTTCAAACACAAATAAATACCAAGTAACAATACAACAAACTGAAAGACAACATATAATATAATGCTATTGGGAAATTAGAACACGTTGCTAATTGTTATTAACAACATGGTATTGCTGAGCAATAAATTATACACTTTAAAGTTTCCTTTCCTTAAAAAAAAACATACAAAAACCATTGATTACCAATTCACTTACTTGCACTGTATCCTTTATAGCTATCAATAATTAAGACAGGCAGAATATACACAATCAAATGAGGTTGGCCTTCTTTGGTCTTTGTTTCTGGATCAGAAAACTGAACACAACCAATGTACCTTTTACCAAAGAATATGAATTAAAAGAAGTCACACACATTTTATACAGACTGATTTGTACACAGTTCATGATTACTGATGCTTTTAGCAGATATTTCTTCTTGGAAAACGATGCCCATTTTTTCCCCAGGTCATTCAATCAATGGCATTTTATGGATGTTAAAAGGTTATCCTACTTGTCCTAAAGATTAATGGATTCATAATCCATCATTCAACATGGGATGCTCCAACATCCCCCTTATAACCCTAAACCACTGGATCACAGTGAAAAAAAAATCTTGCCTTTTATTCATACAAAATGCAGAAGATATACATTCTAGAGATCTACGTGGAAAATAATACTGTGTGGATAGTAAGTGCCTCAGCAGAAGCGTGACTTTTCCCCCCATTCTACAAATACCAAAAGTGTAACTCTCTGCCATTAGAAGGGGTCATAGATGGAAAATGTTTTGCTCACAAGCAACAGCTCCATTTCAAGCTCAGAATACTATCAGCAGGGAATGGGTTCCTTCATGGGGCTGGAGGCTTATTTCAAAAACCCAGTTTATGGAGCAGCTCACAGTTAGTACTGGCTTTTGTTAAGAAGTCACAGTCCTTGAAGAACTGCGATTACAGTTTTGTTCTCAAGAGAAAACAAATCATTCAGGCCCTTAATTAATGGGTGGATGACTCTAATCTGCATGGGGGTGGGGAATCCAGATCTTAGTTTCAGATACATTGTGGGACTGTAGACCTGGGATTCTAATTCAAGCTGCATATCTATAAAATCTAAAGTATTCATATGAACCCTAAGGGATTAATACAGATGCTTATTGCCCGATCCTAAGCTTTGATACACCCCATAAATCAGTGCTTGGAACAGGGTGTGCCAGCAGCTGTTTTCAGCAAGTTAAACTCAACATTATGACATAACTGCAAGCAAATATTTAGGATCAGGACCTGCAACTATCATGGTGGAAGACAAAAGGCTACATAGTCTTGCCAATATGCTAGAGATAATTTAGGATTAACTACATTCTATTTGTGGCGTATCACTGTTTCAAAACAATAAAGGATGCCTCACATTTGCATCCATACATACACTCCAGCTTTCTTCCGCTTACCATTGGTCTCAACAAAGACTAGGGATCAGTTCCAGAATAATATTTTACACCCAAGGGATGGCTGTTTTCAAAAAGTTATTCTCATGGGTGCATACATGGAAAATGTTTTGTCAGGATGAACCAGCTTTTCTATGAGCAGAAGCTGAACCTGATTCAGCAGTTTGCATGCACAGAACAGGCTGCCCATTCCCACAAAATGACTGCATGGAGCCCAAATACACCTCTCTCAAGAATGTATTTCAAGAGCAATGCTACGGATGCAAAAACATTATATTAGAAGTGACCCTTGGATTAAAAGGCAGGAAGTAATAGTTAAGCCCTCAACATTTTTGTTTAAAACATGTTAATTAAAATATTCACAGTGCAAAAGTTGACAGAGCCAGAATTAAATCATGCACTTAAAAATATTTTGTTAAACTTTGCCTTATCCAATGAAGCCCTTAAAACTTAATCTTCCAAATAAGAAACAGAACAAATTGCTTTATCAGAATATTTTATAAAACCAAGACACTGGTAATTTTTATTACTGGGCACACAAGGAAATTCAGCATGCATACTCCCCATTAATCCAATCAGCTCTGAAGAGTAAAGGGAAATTAGAACAGGGACATGTGAGTTATCACATCACAAATATGTTCCCAAAGCATGATGGATGATATGTCAGTTATAGTCTTTACAATCTGTAAATCGGGTTCCCTTTCCCTCTTCTTTATGGGACAGAGAGCAAAAAGTATGCTTCAGTGGCCTGAAAATAGTACAAGGAGGTAAGAGTCCGTGTATCCTATATAGCACCAACACTGACTTTTCCTCCATGTAACATTCAATTTAAGTTTCTACATAAATAAGCAATTCTTACTTTGAGGCTTGATTGATATTTGTAAAGCAGTGCAGACGAAAGATGCACCAAGCACCAAGTAGTTATTTGAAATACACTGAAATCCCAGGCTTTAGTAACTATTTTTGGATTGATAACAGTGAAAAAAGCTACAACACAGTTAATTGTGAAAGCTAATTGACATTTATATGCTGTCAATTTACTGTCCATCCTAATTTGCCCATTATTCCCACTTGCAGCCTGAAGGACACATGAAGCCTATGGCACTCCATGTTTTTTCACATACAGGTTTTTCAAAGCATCAGGAAGTGTCTACTTTATACTGGGCAAAGCTGAATTTACATGGTCTGAGATTCATCGCCAAAACAATCAAGGTAGTTTTCTAAATCCATAAGCTCTTCACCTTCACAGCAAATTGTGTGGGAGAGGGAGGTAATTTTATGGACAGGAAAGGACTAATCTAGCAACCCAGGTTTGTTTTTAAACTTTCTTTACTGTTCCTTGAAAGAGAAAAAGCTACCCACCAATGCATGATTTCTAGCAAAGTAAGGCTATCATCCACTGGAGGAATGTGCACCCTGCTTTTTAGGAAAGGATTCTTTTGTGATCTGGGTTCACAGATGACTCCTCCCCGCACATTTCCTGGGATATAGCATGAATGCTTTCAAAGGGAAAGCAATACCTGTGCACATGAGCCATTTAGCTGCTTTCTCCCATTTTCATGCTGGCAAAATAGGAGTCTGCCTCATAGCAGATCAGGTGGTGTGTATAACCAGCTCAGTAGGGTCTATTCTGGATGGCTGTCCACGGGCCTTCCAAGGGCTTGGGTGAAGGTCTTCCATAACCTCTACAACCTGATCTGTTTAGTTGAACATGCTAGGCTGATCGTGGAGCCTACTCCATTCAGTGCATGTTCTTTACCACAGAGTTATGGTCTCCCCATAAAAAATGTTAAAGAGCAGTCTGGGGACAGGTGTGCACCACTGAAACTTTCAGGACCATAACTGAAATTAAATTGCCAAATTGTAGTTTAAAAACCTTTCCACCTATTTATACATTTGCATAGTTTGCACATATGAAGGCATCAAGACCACAGAAGTTACCAAAACATTTGTTAATCAAGGTGCAGCAAACATTTCCTGTAGTAACCATGATGGAAAAGAGCAAGAAATAGGTGAGGCTTTAAAAATTCATTCAAAGTCTCCTGGAAGTAGGCCAATCAGGTAGCATTTCATGCAACAAAATCTCAATCATTTGCAGGGGCTGTCATTAATTCACATCTCTGCTTGGAAACCACAAATATTGGCCAGGCACATCCATGTTCCAAATCTTTACACTCCCATTTTCCAAAGTATAGGGAAACCAAAATAACTTTAGTAAGAAAATTGGAGGGCATCTCCCCACTACAGGTAAAGAGTCCTGTGAAGCCATACCCGCTTTCCCCCTTCATTCTACATTCTTCTCAAGAACAATGAAAGTTCCAGCACAAGGCTGAAAACCGATGCTGCATGTAAGCTGTCTACATCTCACATAAGAATTATGTTGCAGACAATAGCTAAAATGAAATCCCCAAAGAAGCAATGCAAATATGGTCAAGCGGAAAGATCACACATGGAACAGTTTCATCCTGTTTGGATTTGAGACTTTAAAAATGGGGTAGATACACAGAGTACACTATTATTTGATGTGGCAAACTAAAGTGCTTTGCTAAATTTAAGGGGGAAAGTTGCTTGCACAGTGGCACAGGGTATAAAAAACTGCAGTGTTGGAACTGTGCTTTGCAAAGTGTTTGAAGGGTAGTGACCAGAACATTCACACTGAATTACCTGCACTTGCAGTGAAACCCCAAATTGCTAGATGGTTAAGCAACACCAGTGTAACTCTGGTGTTATTATTGGAATTGCAGCAGCAGTTAAGAACATCATGCGAGAAAGAATCTAGAAAATATCTGTCTGATAAATTAATAATTCAACCACTAGAATTTACCAACACCTTTGGACTTTTGTGCTTCCTTTTCACCCTCACACCTCCCTTGAAACAAGACATTAACAAAGCCTTTTCATAAAAGGCATCTCACTGTCTGCCTCGGCCTATCATTTCCTATCATCAATAAAGGCCTAGCAAAACTACAGTCTTGATTTACAGTCCATAAGTTAGGACTATATGAGCATGAAGAAAGTGAGATTTTGGAGGCTGTCTCTTCCTAAACTGTAGAATCCTTTCTCTTGAAATCTTGCAGCAGTCAAAACTAAACATCTGCTGGAAGCATTCTAAGACCATTTATTTGGGCTTGCTTTTGGCAACCAGACTCAAAAGTATGTGTTAAGCCTATAAAACCAACACCTAGCTGAGATGAGCTACAAATGTAAATAAGAAATTTTGGACCCCAGATGAAGGAAAAGTAAAAGAAAGAAAACTGCACACTTTGTGAAAACCTTCTTCCCATTTGTAGGTGGCATCTGCAGAATTTAAATGGCAGTTGAATAAAACAGCTGTTTGAATTGTGGCTTAATTAAAGAATAAAATTCAGTCTCATTTTTGGCTGTTTTACTCACAAACCAATCCACAATCCAAAGTGTCTAGATATCATGCTAATTACCTATGAACAGGGTGCTTGTATCATAGAATCATAGGACACCAATTTACACCATCCCAGATGGCTGTCCATACATTTTGCTACATACCACATGTCAGAGATAGCTAATTACTTCCAAATCTGCCACCAAATGAGACCATATGTGTGAGTCACGTCTCAGTTTACCTGCATTATCAGGAAAATATTTTGTCCTCAAGCTAGGATCAGGCATGATAAACCAGCTAAATATACTGGGGAGAGTTACTATTGAAAAGGAGATAATATTTTAAATTGCCATAATATACTGGTAAGCCCTGTGTCTTTGAGGCAACAACTTCAGTAGAGAGAATGCTGTGGTCAAGAACATATAGAACGGCAGCCCAGGCTGCCAAAGTTGCTGAATACGATTTTAATTTGCTTGCTAGACCTCTATAGACAACATTCGATGACCCATGCCAAAGAGCACTGAATTTACACAGTCCCAGGTTAAACCATTCTGAGAAGCAAGAGCCACTTTGCTAAAATCTAGCACCAAGGAAGCTCCAAGCTAACCTTTCACTCAGTAGTCCCAGTTGTAGTTCCAGAGTCATTTTGTCCTTATGTGTCCAAAAAAGAACCATGTACAGAAATTAGCTTAGTCTTACTGGCAGGAGACTGGGAATCTGCTCTATGAATTACAGCAGCTGGATGCATCTATGAGAATGACAGGCAGAAAAACATTTTCATCTCTATGCTGATTCTGGCCTTGTTACATGTAGACACAGGTAAGTTTCAGTGAAGTACACCAATCCTAATAATGGCATGGCCTCACAATACTTAAACTTTGGAAAATGGTTGGATTAATTTTCTGTAAGGAACCTGTACAACTAAGAATGGATCAGGTAACCAATGGAGTTTATAAGCCAAAGTTATCAGCCATTTCTAGACTATCTCAAAGAACATCCTATTCACATTTTCAAGGGTTTAAAGAAAATGTTTGTTTTAAAAAGAATGCTGCCCTGCATGAGTCCTGGATTATAACACAAATTATTCTCTAATAGCATCATATTCAAACAGGACATAAACTGTTCATAGAAGATCACATTGGTAAAGATTTCCATAATGCAGTAGCAATGGGTAGGTGAGCCCTTTGGACATTTCCACTAGGGAATCCTGTTTTCAGTAAAATTCTGTAATGCATATACAAAAGCTCAGCTGCCTATATTCATGACTATTAGAATAGTGTCACAAGCCGAGTTAACTCTTTTCCCTAAAGCAGAAGGGGGTGGGTTTATATCAGCCTGCATAAAACTGCACCATGTATCCCTTCGACAGGAAGTCTTCCTTTCGTATCAGAGCTATAATTCTAAAACATGCCTTCTTAAGTTAGTTTGTCACAGTTGGCAACTCAGTACCATAAGAGAAAATACAGTACCTGAATGGTGGAAGGCAAGAAGAGGAAGACGTGTTGCTACTGAATGATCTGGCTGTCAAGAAGCAGGCAGTATTCAAGCAGGTGCCTGAAGAAAACCCATGAGGACCACTCCGCATGCACTGTATGTTTATTAACAGAAAAATACTTCTGGCAGGCACTGCGTGGGAAGGCACAGCCATAAAAGACAATGGCAAGAGCAAGGAACTGAACTACAAAAGACATGACCATTCAACTGAGCCCTAGACATGAACTCTGGCTATAACACCCTAAGTGGAAAGTTAAGCAGACACAACATGACTGGCTAGAGAACAGGGTGTGAAATTCCTTTCCCATGTGCTTGTCAGCAAAGTCTAGGGGAGCACTCTTGTGCTGCACGGCACCCATGCAATTAAAGCAGCACCCACATGGTTGGTGTACAGTCCAGCTATGCCATTAGACTTACTAGTCACACAAGGGACTATTAAAACAGAAGCCAGTAAGTTCTGTGGGTCGCAATCAGCATGATTCAAAGGCTGGAAAATGCTTTCTAGTAAAGCTCAGGTAGTTGTTTAAAAAAGGAAGATCCTGTGGATTTTCCTGCAGGGGTATGTGTCAGAAAACAACCATCATGAATGTACTAGTTAATATATTCCCTTGAAGTTCTGGATTGAGCCGATTTGAAATTACGTTAGCTCTGCTACCTAAAAACATGTCACCATGCAGCAATTTGCCTACTGCTTTGGAAATTGGGGGCACTGTCCAACGTCCCAGCTCCATAGGAGCATTGTGCACAGAAATATAGCACCTGAATAAGTAGTATTCCATGACACTGAGTTGATGGAATCTCTGGTACACCAGAAGCGCACATCTTGGGTTCTAATTTCTGCATGCTGAAAAATATTGGCGGGCTTTACAGACCAGTCAGCACATTATGCCTAAAGTCCAGTTAAAATGACTATTTCAGGAATCTGAAATTAAAATCTGAATACAAAGCTATGAGCTAGGAAGCAGCACATCACCGCTAAGGCACATGAATACATGCAAGCCACCATTCCCATTAAGACACTGCTTTCTCCTAACCAGCATCCTCTGTAAGATGTGATAATTTCTATGTAGAGGAATAATTAGCAGGTTTCCCATATATGTATTACACAGCACTGCACCTCTTCTCAAACACCAAAAATATGTTGCACATTTATGCTTTAGCAAAAAATAGATTATATATATTTTTATATACACACACACATATATTTTCTAGAGCTTGGTCTGAGCGCATGAGGCAGAACTTTAAAAACATACAGGATTCCGTTTAGAACTCCAAAGTTCAACAAATGCCCTATTTTAGGGTGAAAATTATAAATCTGATAATGATGCACAGCATCCATGAGTGATTATTTTTTCTTAATTTTGAAATAGTGTCATTAACTACGACATATATTGTAGGTTTACATTTCTAAAGAGAAATAACAGCAATAGTTGAATAGTTTCTTTTCATATCACAAGTGATAACCTGCATTTGATCTTTTTTTTCTTCCAAGAAATATCAGTCTATCAACAGTTTTAAAATAAAATGTTTTCTGTAGCAATTAATAGAACTCTAAACAAAAATATGACTCTGATTTAGACACTTTCAAGAAGATCTAGACATTTTGTTGAGGTCTTCTGACAAAGTAATTATTTTAAAACAGAGACCAGATGAGGCCTTAAAAATAGACAATATACTATATTTCAGACAAGATTGCACTTAGATTTTTAAAGTAATAATATCTTTAACATTACTTCATAATTTCTTCTTTTTATTTACGTAACATGCTGACAGTTTCTAGCTAACCCACATGTGAACTTTTACTTTTGTTCTCTAGTTCAAAAGGAAGAAAAGTCTGATGTCTTATTCAGCAGAGGATACTTTGTTGTCTTCTTTCCAACTGATTAGGTTATCAATAAATTACGAAAAGCTTTTCTGACAGTAATCTTTGTCCTCATGAGGATTAAGTGACTTGTCAGAATGTGAAGTGTTCCTACTAGTTTAGAAAATATACCATGGTATGATTTCTGAATGGGTTGCTATGTTTGGCATTGGACCCTATGTAAGTTATACCTCCAAACTTTCCCTTCTGTTAACACAAGGTGGTCCCCTCCGAGCTTTAGGGACCTCTCACTGAAGACAGATATAAAAAAAGAGCCCCAAATGGAGTTGTCTTCTGTTGAATCTGCCTCTCTGCTATACGTCAGGGGTCTGGTAGGTCTGATGTATCCACTATGACTTTAATAAAAATAGTATCATCTTTAATATATGTTCCGTTTTCTAGAACAGTTTGTGCAACAAAGACTGGACAGCCAGAAGCAATATTCATTTCTCCAGTGGGCTTCTTGAAACTACTGCTGTTAGGGTCTGGTTTGAAAGCATCTCCTAAGTGGCGCCGAGAAGGTCCCTGATCCATCAGCATAAGGGTGACTTTCTGCTTGAATGGCCATGGAAGCAATGCATCATATTCTCCCCGCATTATGACAAAGAATAATGACAAGTGCGTCCCTTTACCCATCCCATCTCCATTGAGGTAAACCCTGGCACACATCTTATAGCCAAAGTATCCTGTGTAAAAAGGTTGGCTGTATAAGGACAAAGTCTTCCCCATGACAGCCTCTTGCTTCCGACGTTTATAATCGCGGATCTTCCAGATTAGTATTCCATTGTAACTCGCTGTTTCCAGAACTTGAAATCGGAGATCCATGTCAGCCAACCGGATATCGTGAACACTCAGCATTTGATCATGCCTAGATAACTGAGATTCTAGAAGACCTGCAAGGAAAAGCAAGGTACTTGTTTACAATTTTTAAGGTAACAAAGGACCAGCTCTTCCCATTACTTTGGCTTCTTTTTTTCCTATTTGTGAGAAATAACACAAGCAAGATCGTATACATGGTGAAAACTGATGGATCTCAACAGTGGCCTGTTTGCTATAGCTCATGCAAGCAGATGGCTTCTAAGTGGAATAATCTGTTTGGTCACATTCACTGAGAATTTGTTATTTGTGTTAAGGATGTGATAACCTGTATCACTCCACTCCCTAACCCGGACAAACAATGCTCTTTAATTCAACAAGCTGCCAAAAAAAAAAAAAAAAGTGCATGCACTTGAGAAGGGAAGGAAGGCATTATTTCCAAAGAATACGCTGTTAATATCCTTTGTTATTCTGTTTGGTATGTTGGATGCGGATGATGGGAGTTGTAATCTAATGCATCTGTACCAGGTTCGGAAAAGCCCCTACAGAAGGTTTATTACTGAATTGGAGCAAAGCCTTTTCACAGCCATTACAGATGTTCTACCTTTTCTAATACATGGTCCCAGTGTTGGCTGGGGATGATAAAGGGTGTAGTCCGGCAGCAGGCAATGTGGTGCCTGTGGCCACCAGTGCTCCCAGATACCTTCCTTGTCAGCCACCAAGTACTCTGGCCCTCCCACCCTTAGAGAAATGGGCTGGTTTTCTTGCTTGTGGCTGAGATGGCAAGCACCGTGAGGATTTCCATCCTCTGCCATCTTCATTTCCCATGAACGCTTCTGGACCACCCATGGGGCTGAAAGCATTCCTTGGAAATGAAATGGATGCAGCTGTAGACACAAAGCAAAACAGGATCAGGGAGGGGACTCTTGCTATTCCTACCTTGCGAATCACACCTCCCACAGCTGCCATTTGGCAGTGGTGCCCTGTGCTGTTATCCCAACTGCCAAATATGCACAAAAGCCCAAATGGATTGGGTACCCTATCAGAGTCCATCAAATCCATAGGGTTCCAGGTTGTGGAAACCTGTTTTAAGGGTAATTTGGGGTTCTTGTTTCTATCAGGATTCAGCTATCCTGAGCAATACAGGTCCCATGCATGCAGGAGTGTGTCTTCCCGTCTGAAATGTTAAGGGGAAAAGTGATCTGTTTGCTTGTGAAATTCAATATACTTTAACCAGCAATGAGAGCTGCCTTTGGGCATCAGAATCTGAATATATGCACTGCTGTTCAGCAACAGGCAGACTATATACTTATGAGATGCAATGCAAGGTAAATTAACAGATGGCCATTCTTTGGTATAATTATTTTTATATGCTAATTTGTCTTTGAACTAGGTAACATTATGCAAGCCACTTGGAAGGGTCCATGTCATACTGCTCATCTGTGGTTTCATTACTTTGTTCGCTGAATAAGGCAATGACCTTTCTATTATATCAGATCTCATTGTGCTGTTCAGATGAAACGTTCAGATGAAACACACGAAAGACTGCAGGTGCTCTAAAGTAAAGGCAGCCACGAACTGTCAGTGTGGAAACCATTAATCAAAAATAAATTGAATACTTGAATACTTTGATTTCCCCTCTTCTTCTTAAAAGACAATGGCTGTGTGTGTATGTGTGTCTTTAAACATCAACTGAAAAATTGCTGTGTAATTTATTTGGAAATAATGCTTATATTATTTAGAAATGTGTACATTAAAAAGCTCCTTCATGGATCACTGCCTTGTCGTGGCGAAGGGGCTTGTGTAGCTCAGTGAAGCTACAAGCAATGCCGTGCAGGGCCACCCAAGACGGATAGGTCATAACAGAGAGCTCTGACAAAAAGTGAACCACTGGAGAAGGAAATGGCAACCCACTCCAGTATCTTTGCCATGAAAACCCCATGGACAGTACGAAAAGGCAAAAAGATAGGATGCCGGAAGATGAGCCCCTCAGGTCGGAAGGTGTCCAATATGCTACTGGGGAAGAGCGGAGGGCTAGTACAAGTAGCTCCAGAAAGAATGAAGCGACTGGGTCAAAGCTGAAAGGACACTCAGTTGCTGATGTATCTGGTGGTGAAAGAAGAGTCTGATGCTGCAAAGATCTATACTCCATAGGAACCTGGAATGTAAGATCCATGAAACAAGGCAAGCGGGATGAGGTCAAACAAGAGATGACAAGACTGAACATCGACATCTTAGGAATCAGTGAACTAAAATGGACAGGAATGGACGAATTTAATTCAGATGACCATCAGGTATACTACTGTGGGCAAGAATCCCTCAGAAGAAATGGAGTAGCCTTCAAAGTCAATAAAAGAGTAGGAAAAGCAATACTGGGATACAATCTTCAAAATGACAGAATGATCTCAGTTCGAATCCAAGGCAAACCATTTAACATCACAGTAGTCCAAGCCTATCCCCCAACCACTGATGCTGGAGAGGCTGAAGTTGACCGGTTCTATGAAGGCCTACAACACCTTCTAGAAATAACACCAAAAAATGATGTCCTTATCATCATGGTGGATTGGAATGCTAAAGTAGGATGCCAAAAGATAACCAGAATAACAGGCACATTTGGCCTTGGAGTACAAAATGAAGTAGGGCACAGGTTGGTAGAATTTTGTCAAGAGAATACGATGGTCATAGCAAATACTCCTTTCCAACAACCCAAGAGATGACTCTACACATGGACATCACCAGACGGTCAACAAAGAAATCAGACGGACTATGTGCTCTGTAGCCAAAGATGGAGAAGCTCTATACAGTCAGTAAAAACTAGACCAGGAGCTGACTGTGGCTCAGATCATGAGCTTCTCGTTGCAAAATTTAGGCTTAAATTGAAGAAAGTAGGGAAAAGCACTGGGCCACTCAGGTATGACCTAAATCATATCCCTGATGAATATACAGTAGAGGTGACAAATAGATTTAAGGAATTAGATCTGATAGACAGAGTGCCTGAAGAACTATGGACAGAGGTTCGCAATATTGTACAAGAGGTAGCAACTAAAACCATCCCAAAGAAAAAGAAATGCAAGAAAGCAAAATGGCTGTCTGAGGAAGCTTTACAAATAGCTGAGGAAAGAAGGGAAGCGAAAGGTAAGGGAGAAAGAGAAAGATACACTCAATTGAATGCAGAATTTCAGAGAATAGCTAGAAGAGATAAGAATGCCTTCTTCAATGAACAGTGCAAAGAAATAGAAGAAAACAATAGAATAGGGAGGACCAGAGATCTCTTCAAGAAAATTGGAGATATGAAGGGAATGTTTCATGCAAAGACTGGCAAGATAAAGGACCAAAATGGCAGGGACCTAACAGAGGCAGAAGAGATTAAGAAGAGGTGGCAAGATTACACAGAGGAACTATGCAAGAAAGAGCTTAACGTCCCTGATAACCACGATGGGGTGGTCACTGACCTCAATCCAGACATCCTGGAATGTGAAGTCAAGTGGGCCTTAGGAAGTCTGAGCAACAACAAAGCTAGTGGAGGAGACAGTATTCCAGCTGAACTATTCAAAATCCTAAAAGACTATGCAGTAAAAGCGCTACACTCAATATGCCAGCAAATTTGGAAAACTCAAAGGTGGCCACAGGATTGGAAAAGGTCAGTTTACATTCCAATCCCAAAGAAGGGCAATGCCAAAGAATGTTCACACTACAGCACCATTGCACTCATTTCACATGCTAGCAGTTATGCTCAAAATCCTACAAGCTAGGCTCCTGCAGTATGTGGACCGAGAACTACCAGAAGTACTGGCAGGATTTCGAAGAGGCGGAGGAACTAAAGATCAAATAGCCAACATACACTGGATCATGGAGAAAGCTAGGGAGTTCCAGAAAAACATCTACTTCTGCTTCATTGACTATGCTAAAGCCTTTGATTATGTGGATCACAACAAACTGTGGCAAGTTCTTCAAGACATGGGAGTAACAGACCAACTTATTTGTCTCTTAAGAAACCTATATGCGGGTCAAGAAGCAACAGTGAGAACTGGACACGGAACCACTGATTGGTTCAAAATTGAGAAAGGAGTTCGGCAAGGCTGTATACTGTCGCCCTGCCTATTTAACTTATATGCAGAGCACATCATGAGAAAGGCGGGGCTAGATGAATCACCAGTTGGAATTAAGACTGCAAGGAGAAATATTAACAACCTCAGATATGCAGATGCTACCACTCTAATGCCAGAAGATGAGGAGGAACTAAAGAGCCTCTTGATGCGAGTGAAGGAGAAGCACACAAAAGTTGGCTTGAAACTCAACATTAAGAAAACCAAGATCATGGCATCAGGTCCTCTTACTTCCTGGCAAATAGATGGGGAAGAAATGGAGGTAGTGACAGATTGTATTTTCCTGGGCTCCAAGATCACCGCAGACGGGGACTGCAGCCAAGAAATTAAAAGACGCTTGCTCCTGGGGAGGAAAGCTATGGCAAATCTAGACAGCATACTAAAAAGCAGAGACATCACCCTGCCAAGAAAAGTGCGTATAGTCAAGGCTATGGCTTTCCCAGCAGTTGGTGTGAGCTTAAGTGGACTCCAGGGGATGGTGGAAGACAGGAAGGCCTGGAGGAATGTTGTCCATGGGGTTGCGATGGGTCGGACATGACTTCGCGACTAACAACAACATTAAAAAAAGGAACAGCCTACAGTTAACTTCTATCATCATCAATGATCTGTCCCCACAAACTGCATCACCTGGTCTGCTCAAACATTTGAGCCAGAAGCCATATAAGAATAAGAACCTATCCATCAAATCAGAGCCTTGGTCCATCTGGTCCAAAACTGCTGAAAGTGACTGGCAGGACTAGCTTTTGCAGGTTCGGGGTGAGTTCTTTTGGATGCCAGGGATTGAACTTGGGACCTTCTCTATGCAAAGCAGCTGCTCTACCACTAAGCCATGCCCCATCCTGCCTGACCTGGCAGGGGAAGGGAAGTGTATAGACTGAAGCTCTCAGCTGGTACAGCATAAACACACCAAAATAAGAACCATGTCAGTAGGTCTTGAGAACACTACAATGTCACTAACCCTCCAGAAACATCCCAGCAGTAGCACCATTTCAGAATAGCTCATTTGTATTTTGGCCCAAACTGCCATGACTTCACCGTTGTTCAGATTTACCTGCATTTCTAGCTCCTTGCCCAGCAGTTTTGTCAACGCTTTCCAACTCAGTCACTCTGTTCTGGAGGGACTCAACACTACTCTTCATGCTGTCTGCCTCCTCCCAATTCTGTCGGAAGGGACGGATTTCTTTGTCCAGTTCTTTCAGCTTCTCAGCTTGACTATCTATCACACGCTTTTGAAAACAGTAAATTATTATAATGTGCACACACACGCATGCATCTTAAGGAAAGCAACAGACAGGAAATAGAGGAAGATTATCTATGAGAAGAATGTAAGTATTTCAAATGAGCAATGTATATGGCTGCTCTCAGACACTAGCATAACTCTTCTAGTAAGCTTTATCATTAGTTTATTTCTATATTTATTTCTATACCACCCGATAGCTAAAGCTCCCCGAGTGGTTTACAGCAACATAATTAATAAGTAATACAAACTCTAACTGTGCTAGTGAGACTTGATATACAGCTTTGAACATGAAAAATAATAAGCTAATAAAGAATAATATTTATGGCCAAGATATAAAGTTTGCTTGTGTTGTCCAGTCATCCCTTAGAACACTGATTCCCAACATGGAATACACGCACCCCCAGAGGTACACCGAAACAAAAATCAAGTAATAGTGGAAACACAATGTGTTGCAAGCACACCACTCAGCAAGCATGCCTGGCACTGCACCCCTCACAGGCTCAGCTTTCACTCTCCTCCACGTCACCATCATTCAAGGACTGCCATGCTGGTACCAGTATATATTAAGCAGGCACCTTGTTCAGTCCTGTGAGCAAGGCTGAATGAGCGAGGGTTCAATTTATGGAAGCAGGCTGCTGAGGGGTACACAAGCGAAAAAATGTTGGGAACCACTGCCTTAGAAGACAAATGATATGGCAGAACATTTAATGAAGACTAGGGACTGGTTTCTCACATGTATCAAAAACCTGGGATTATGGGTTTTCTGTGGACAAATGCTCAAGCAAGCACATTGTATTATGTCTCCGCACAGGCAAAGAACCCACAATTGCACAGGGATCATGAAGACAGAATCTGTTATTGTCAAGATATATAACCACAGGTGCTCCCTTACTGCACAATCCTATGTGTGTCTGTTCACTAGATATACATAAGTTATGTTTAGCACTGCAGGTTGATTACCACAGAGAAAGGCAAAGAAATCTGTTTCAGTGTTTTGCTACGACAAGAAAAGAGCCAATATTTTACCTGTAAATGATGGATTTTAGATTCATTGCTCCGCAGCATTTCCTTCTGTCTCTCAATTTCTATTTCAAAGCTACAAATTTGATTATGTAAAGTTTGTATACTCTTGTTCTTTTCCAAACTTTCATTCTGGAGCAACGCCACCTGGAAAAAAATCTACAATTACTCTGCCAGACTTACGGAAAAGTATATATCGTTTCTCACAAGCAATGTAGAAAGATCCTATAAATCTCTCTCTCTCTCTCTCTACTGTGTGAGGCAATTTCTACCCCAAAGTTGCATGAGCAGAATGCAATTAATGCAACAGATCTCTGCTTTATCCTCCCCTTTACCTTCCAAAAATTCTATCTAGAGGTCTGAAGAAAATACCAAACATTGTGGTTTTATCTTACAAGGCTGCAGCAAGGGGTGAGGGTGGCAGAAATGACTGAAAGTCAGTGGAGCAGCCTGACACAGCTCGTGCCAGACTTCCAGTTCTGTGCACACACTGTATGGCAGGTTCCTGTTAGCTTCCACAGAGGCTTTCCAAAGAGCAAAGGAGGCTGCCTGGGGGAAGAGCCGTCGCACAAACGTTGTTTCTGCTCCTGCAATGCGAGATATAACCCCAGTGCATTTTCCATCCCTCCTTGGAAGGACAGGCTACTTACTTGTAACTCTGGAAAACCACACATATGGCCCAGAAGGGACAATCAGCACAGTCATCCCAGAGCTAAGGAGAGTTTCAGGCAACAGCCCTTCCCACCCATTTTATGTATATACTGTGCAGCTCCCACCTACCTCTCCATTGCTAGCCCACTGATCAAAACTGTGAAAGATTTCGCAATGCAAAGGGTGGCTGCTGCCAAGAACTTTGAAGAAGATTGTGACTTGGAAGAGCAGCGATGAAGGAACTAGAAAAGATGATCAAGTGTAAAGATGTTTCACTGGAGACCAAGGTCAAGATCAGCCAAAATATTGTATTCCCAGTCAGAGGGGTGTGACAAGCTGGACAGTGAAGAAAGCAGACAGGGAGAAAACTGGTGCATTTGAAACATGGTGCTGGAGAAGAGCTTTGCAAATACAGGCAGAAAGATGCACAAGTGGAAAGAGGAGAGCTTTGCAAATACAGGCAGAAAGATGAACAAGTGAAAGATCAAACCAAGTCTAGGAACAAAAATGACAAAACTGGGGCTTTCATAGTTCAGACACATCATGAGAAATCAAGACTCACTGGAGAAGATAATCATGTTAGGGAAAGCTGAAGATATAAGATGAAAGGGAAGACCAAATATGAGATGGACTGAATCCATGGAGGAAGCCTCAGCCTCCAGCTTGGAAGAATTGAATGGAGATGTCATGGACAGGATATTTTGGAGGGCTTTCATTCATGCCTTAAGTCAGAGACAACTTGATGGCACATAACAACAACCACCAGAAGAGGGAGATAGCATACAAGAATTGAGGAAAGGACTGCTCTGCCAAAAGCAGAACTGCTGTGAATGCTATTACTGAAGCAGTAACGTTTGATGAAGACAGTGGGCTGGGCCCAGGTCACAGAGCTATCTAGTTGCAGAATTCTAAGGAAACTGGCCAAGGATACTGTTATTCTAGGTGCATGACCCCATACTTCTGGGGAGGGGCAGTTGATAGTTGAGCAGGATAGCGGAAGCCACCCATTGGAGGAAATACTGTAATGACACTGAGTGACCTGTTTGTTTTCCAAGTGGCAGGTGAATACATGGATAGGTCACCTAAAGAATGATATTCTTACGATGTAGAATTAAAGTGCCCTTCAAGGGAATGAAACATGATCTCTGTTGGGGAGGTAGGTTGTGGAAGGAAGATTGGCACTATATTATCTTACATTAAATGGAATTGTGAATATCAAATTGTCATGTTTCAAGCCTGGTTTCAGCATGGAAACAGTTCTGGTCACCCTGTATGATGGTCTATGTCAGAAGAGAGATGGAAAGTGCAACCCCATGGGTTCTCCTGGATCTCTCAGAGGTTTTCAATATCATTTGCCATGGTATCCTTCTGGGGCAACTGCCTGAGTTGGTGTGAGAGGCACTGCATTGCAGTGGTTCTGCTCCTACAGGGATGGTATGCTCCAGAAGGTAGTGCTTGGAAGATATTGCTCTGCCTCTTTCATCCTCCAGTATGGGAATTCTCCAGGGGTCAGTCTTGCCCCCCATGTTATTTGGCACCTACATGAAACTGCTGAGTTAGGTCAGATAGAGTTTTGGAATGTATTGGCATCAATATGCTGATGACACACAGCTCTCTCTCTCTCTCTCATATTCAGCAGGTGAAGCAGTGCCTGGCAGCAACAATGGACTCAGTGAGAGATGACAAACTGAAGACAAGATGCTGTTTGTGGGTGGTTCTTCTGACTGGATGGAGGGAATTCAAGCTGTTCTAGCTAGGGTTGCACTCTTCTTGAAGAAGCAGGTTTGGGGGTGCGCCTTGAACCATCTTTGTTACTTGAGCCTCAGGTGGCTTCAGTGGCTTAAAGTGCCTTCTACCAGCTTTAACCGGTGGTTCAGCTATGCCCCTATCTGGACAGAGACAGCCTGCTGTTAGTGATCTATGCTCTGGTGATCTCTAAACAAGATTACTGCAAGGCATTCTACATGGAGCTGCCCTTGAAGACTGTTCAGAAGCTGTAATTTGTGCAAAATGCAGCCGCCAGACTACTAACAGGGACCAGATGATCTCATCAAATGACACCAATGTTGGCCTGCTTGCACTGGCTGCCTATATGCTTTCAAGCCAAGCTCAAGGTTTTGACCTGTTAATCCCTACATGGCCTGGGACCACGACATCTCCTGACCTTCCTCTACCCAGACACTACAGTCAAGTTCTGGGGCCTACCTCCAACTGGCACCTCCAAGGAAGGCTTGGACGGTGGCAACAAGGAGACGAGCCTTTTTCAGGGGGGCTCCCCAATTGTGGAAGGAACTCTCCACTGAGGCCAGCATGACACCAACTTTACTATCTTTTGGGCACCAGGTAAAACTTTCCTCTACTGCAGTGTATTCAAGTAGTTTACTAGGGCCTGCTAGCTGTTAAACCCTTTTGAAGATATCTCTCTGTGTGTGTGTGTTTTAAATTTGGTTTTAAATTCTGTATTGTAAACTTTTCCTGATATTTTAATATGATGTTATTTTTAATGTGCTGTTGTGAACTGCCCAGAGAGCTTCGGCTGTTGGGTAGTATAGGAAAGAAGGAAGGACGGAAGGACAGAAGGAAGGACGGAATGAAGGGGAAGGAACCAACCAACCAACCAACCAACCTTTGGAATTAAAGAACAGTGTGGAAGAGGGAGCATTAGGCATCTCTGCAATGGAGGCCAAAGACAGCTGGGTGAGTTGATGGTTCTGATTTTTTTCAGGATTGTGTCTTGTAAGAAGTTGTTCAGAAGATGATGGGGTGTGAAAAGCAGATTTGTAAAGCTTGGTAGCACTGTAGTTTCCAGTAACTGGACATTAGTTGGTTTAGAGACCATGCTTGAAGGCAATAGCTTAAAGTTGCCTTAGGTTGTTCTAGAAAGTGAAAGGATGAGAACACTAATGACAGGAATAGTGAGGCGGATTAGACACTATTCTTAATGATGTCTCAGCAGTGATCAATTTTCATAGTAAGGGAATAGAGACCTGCAGAAGCAGAAACATCTCATGATATATTACAGCAATAAGAGAGAACACCACTGTATGAAGCTGGTGTGTTCTGCCAGTACTAAGAGGCTTATATTTGTGGGTTTGTGTTCTATGTTGAATTGTTATCCTATGAGCTAGTTTCTGTTTTGCTTTTCAGTCTTGGGCACCAAAGGTTATCTGGGCATCTATTACAGGATGTGGTCTGTTTAACATGCTTGGTCTCAATCACTGGTACCACATTGCCAGTTTCAATTTATTAGTCCAAGGGGATGCCAGAAGCCATGCATATGGCTGGGGCTGCTTCGCCAAATACCAGAAATGGTTGACCAGAAAGTGCTTTCTTTCACATGCGCTAGAGGAAGCAGACAGAGTAATGGCTTCTTGCAAATGCTCACCAAGGCAATAGTGTAGAGGGTTTTGAGATGAAAGAACAGTCAAAATACTGTCATTTGCTACAGTGGCTGGAAAGCAACACAGAGGTAGGCAGGAACCACACTTGGCGCATGGACAGGAGAGGCGGGCAGCGTTCCCGTCTGAAGCTCCATTGAAAAAGTTCCAGACAACTACTCTGCACAGGTGCATAATCCACATGTGAGCAACAGAGACTACAAAGGAGTACTCAATGGTGTTAATGGTTTTTTCTCTCATCCTATCAATACAGGACTAATAGGAATTAAGATGGAAAACAAAATGGTCAAACCTCTGTAAAAACACAATGTCTGTTTTAAAAAATGGTTCTTTCAAACCCTTCCAGTGACAGGCAAACTGGGATCCATGCTGGCCATCTAAGACCTCTTATTAAACAGACCAGCAGAAAGTCTTACCAAGAATATGCACTAAAAAGAGGGAATAGTTCAAATTGCCTCAACCCCTTTGCAATTAAAAAAAGAATAAGCGCACTGGGAACAGTTTCTGTGGTCATGGATGAAGCTATTAAGTCAGGCATTTGTGTAATTCTGCAAACCAAGAATGATCTCTGTGAATGAAAGCTACACATTCAGGGAACAATATGAAAGAGCAGGAAAATTCACTGGTAGCATTATTTAAAAGAAATCAACTTCTACTCCGCTCTTAAATTTTTTAGTCCTCCTATTAAACTATATATTAGAACCACAAAGAAGAAGCATTCACTGCATGGAACACTGTTGGGATCTCTACTCCATTCATTAATGTTTTTCTTCCTTAAAAGTCTCACATCTGGAACACTGCCCTCTTGTTCAGGCAAAACGTGTGTATTACATTCATCATTCATCAGCAAAACAGTAAAGAAAACAGTAGATGTTCATTGTGCACCTGAAATAATATCACAAACTGCAAGGGAACACCATTTTGTGACTCATCTAAAAAACTGGGAAAATTTTTTCAAATGAATCCAACGCAATAATTCCTATCCTTAACAGTAAAATATACACTTGTGTCAGTATTTCTAAGGATGAAAGAATCCAATTTTCTACCAGATGAGAGGTCAAACTCTTTAGAAACCAACTGGCCTATATTATATAATAAAGCTTCAAAGCAAGCCAAAAGAAAACAAAATTTTAAAAAATCTCCTTGTCCCCAGCTGAAACAGAATTTGCAGAAACTAGTATTTTAAGGCACAGGTATAAGGGAATGGGCTTATCATGTCCACATGAGACAGCAAAGTTTGAACAAGTGTTTACTTCACTCTGAGACAGGACAAACATCACTGCTTGGGCAGATTACGTAGTCTTACAGAATTGTAGCCTTACTGGAAGTAGTAACTCTAAGCGCCCTCACTGATCCTGACTCAATGAGAGCATTCGCCCCAAAATCCTCACAGAAGGGTTTTAAGGAAACTCTCCGCGCCACGACATGTGCCTGGGGTTACAAAACAAGCAAGCAAACAGATCGATACAAAGATAAAGCAGAAGTTGTTTTACTTTTAATAGCTGAGAGGGAAGGGAACTCAAACCTATGTGGGAAGGGATGCACATGAAGATCCTCAAGACAAGCATCTGAACAAGTATTCCTTTTCTACCAGTTCTGCTTCCATTACTTGTGGCACTTACTTGTCCTTTTTCAGCCATTTCATGGACAAGCCAACAAGGTACAGTAGTGTGACTGTTTCAGAACACGAGTATTAGAAAGGAAACGACATGAGAGAAATCTCTCTCATCAACTAACAGGCATTTTTAGAGATGGGAACATAATTCCAAAGTTGAACTCAGATCACCGTTTCTACTATTTGGAAACTCCACCTTGTGATAATGATCATTTCCAAACAAATCAACCATGCACTGATACTGTGGAAATATTTCTAAGCAAAGCTTGAATTTACAACTGTTCCATGCATTCAGAAATACCTTCAATAAAAATATAGTAAAGTATTTCCAAAGAGCCAGTTTAAGTGCTGTGGCTTTCTCCAAAAAATGATGGGAAATGCACTTGGGATATTAAGAACTCTACAGTAGAGCTCTTTAGTAACTTTCATACAACTTTAGTTTCCAGCATTTGCTGTAAAAAAAGGAATGACGGTTGAAGTTTGCAGTGCAGGTACAGTTCATTTAAGCAAAGAACAGGACTTTCTCTGCATTATTCTGTCCATGACTGTTACCAGACTTTGAGAAAATATTATTTATCATAATTAATATTATCCGCATATATGTAGCATGCACAATTAGCTATTCCTGTAACTGGCACAAGCTCATTAGATTCCTAGTAATTCAAAATTATTTATGTTAAAATGGAAAAAAATTAAAAAGTGGGAAGTGAAATAGCTGCATGTTTAACTTTCTTCTAAAACGCCAAAGCTTGTACTAGCTTCTTGCCAATAAAGTCTCACACCATAAATGCAGACACCTTCTCACATCTGAAGCTTTTGTTTCCCGGGTCCTTCATAAACTCTCGATTTGCACAAATAGAAGGGTCAATTAACACCCACTCACACACCCAACCCAAAAACTTGTCCTTTAAAAACAGTGACAGGTGAAGTTCATGCCAAACAGCTTTTGCTCTTGAGGTTTAGGGATGGCAGCAATAACATGAACTATAACTAAAGATTAGTTCCCAAATAGAAACTTGCCTTCACAAAATTTTCTTAGGCCAGGAAGAAAAAACAGGAAGAAAAAAAAAGAGTCAGGCTGATTGATCAAATGGACCTAGGCTGACCTCTGGAAATTCCTTTACTTTTGAGATGCCAAAGCAATTTAATCTAGAATTTTTCACATGCAATGCAAGTTCTCACCACTATAATCCTTCCCCCCATGTTGAACCAATTGAGTACTTCACATTAAAACACACAATAGAATGTTTAAAAAGCCTAACGCCTATGGCAATGCAATATCTGTATTACTTGCCTTGTTTCATGAGAGGAGAAAAGTTTCATTAGCCAGTTTAAGACTGCAAGATGGATGTGCCACCAATTAATGAATACCTCTTCCAATATTTCTTATTTTGCCCTGGATGCAGTTTTCTTTTTCCTTTTTTAATCCTGAAACTACAATGATTTCATTGCTTTTGGAAAAAGACAAGTATTTTACTAGCAATTCCCAACTTCCAGAAGTGTGCACTAACTAGATTCATAAAATATAAACGTAATGAAGGGGAGTAGGAGATGTACCTTATTTTCTAGGCAATTACTCCACTCTTTCAATAAGTCTACATGCTGCACTGCTGAGGTGGCTTCGTGTGCTTTAACTTGTTGATTTGTTCCCTGTGACAAAGAATATACTTTAGCCAACTTCATTTCTTAACCAAACCTGCACAGTAATGCAAACCTGCACAGTAACCCACTGATGCCTTGGCAGACATATTATAAGGAACTTCTTTAATAATAAAAAGACACAACACAGAACCAACTTTCCCATAAGGAGTGTTGGGCCTATGTTTCTTTAAAAAGTAACTATTGTACAAGAAAGCAATTTTACTTAAACTTGTATTTGTATAACTAAAGAAAACACCCCAGTCAGCCTTCAAATGGTAAAGGCTCAATCCACCAAACCCTGTTCTCAAACAAATCCCTATTTATTTCAGCAATACTTGAATATAGAGAATTTGGGATAAACACAGTGGTAGGAATTCAACTACCTAAAAGGTTTCCAATATCTCTTTAACAGTTGAGTCCTGAATCAGCCAACCCACTCTTCTATTTATTCGCCCCTTCCCATGCCTGCTGACTCTAGGCGCTGATTCCCTTGCAGTTTCAACGCTTTGGTTCTGTGAGGCTGAAATGAGTAGGTGGCCCCTGGCACACAGCTATTGAGGATCAGCACTTTTTGATCTACAAAGAGGAGGCAGTATCCAATCTAATACTACCGCTAATGTAAATTTATGTTGTCCTGGCAAAATGGTAGCTGTAGTATCAAACTGGATACTTCCCACTGAAACTGACAAGAGACTCAGGACAGACAAAAAGAAGTACTTCTTCACAGAATGTAGAACTGGATTTTGCTGCCACAAGATGGACTGATTGCTATCAGCTTAGATTGTCTTAAAGAGGGATTGAAATAATCCATGGAAGAACGACATGTTACATCTAGGATCAGAGGCACTATGCCTCTGTATACTAGTTCCTGGGGAACAAATAAAGCTACAGCCTTCATATTCTACTTCTGGGCTACCTAGAGGTATCTGGTTACTGTGAGAACAAGATGCTGAAGCAATGTTACAGATTTAGTGAGTCAGATACACCTTCATGACCTTAAGATGCTATACAGGCTGGACTGATGGCTTGGACTAACACTTACAGTTTAAAGTAAATTCCTATGAGTTAATCCCACAGGAGCAGAACTTGGTGGATTGTATACCAAGATTTTGAGGTAATCAAAACAGTGTTTAAGCTACGTATGTCTTGATGCTGTTGTGTAACTTCACTGAGTGAACAAAGAACTAAGTCAAAGGAAAAAAGATGGAAACCTATTCATCAAACCTAGAAATGAATACACTATTGAACAGAGAGCAAAATTTCCCACTCCAGAGAGCTTGCAGAACACATTGACCTGGTTCACATGTAACAACAGCTATGTTTTAATCAAGCTATGGATTGCCATGAACAATGTAAGACAGTGGGCAGGGCACAGTCCTGCTTTTAATCAACAAGCTATGATAAGTCTGCTTTTAGGTTGTTAAGCATGACACACAAGCCTAGACAGCTGAGTTGCTTAGCAGCTCAACAGTCCAGGGGAAAATGCATGTTTGTTGTTGGATTAACCACTCATGTCACACTCAATAACCTACTTATCACTAGTGGAAGAAGTACATGCACTGTAGGCAGCACTTCCACCCCTCCCGCTAATCCAACAGCCCATGAATTGTTCAAGATGGGCTGATGTTACATATGAACTGGTCCATTGCCTAATGCATTTAGGTGAGCAGTAAATAAGCCATCATTACACGAATACACACATCAGTATGAATACTACACATGGTTATACACAAAACAAATAACATACAGAATATGTAAGTTGAAGACCACATCTGCACCGTGCTGTAGACTTACCGCCTTTGATTGCATGTGTTAGTATGAAAGAAAAATATGCAAGTTAAGTTGCAAATTTAGCATTTTCATGATCTTCAGCATACATGGTCTGTATAACATATTCAAATTATATATACCCACATACATATATATATACACAACACAGAGCGTAAGATAGCGAACGGTGGTAAGGTAACAGCAAGCAGTGCTAACAAGACAGACTATTGCTACTATTGAAAGCAATTGTGTCTGTGTGCAAACCAAATGCTTTGGTTGTGATCATATCCCCAGTGGTATCAAGGTTAAGAATCCCTTGGAGGAAGACAGTTTATTTAGTTTCACTGGTACCATGGCATGCCTACACTACAGATATAACCCAGTTGCAAAACACTGAAATGATAGATGACTTGGCAATCATTACTCCCCTCACACAAAGCACTTACAAGTTTTACAGCCTAGGCTGGGCAGGCTTGCTCAAGAGTTCTGTTGGGTTCATCTCTGAGTTGGAGCTAAAATTCTAATACATATAAATAACAAGCCTGCAGTCTGGATTGACTCTTAGGAACATGGGATGCTGCCTCATACAGAATGAGACTGCTGGACTATCTATCCCAGTACTGTTGACACTGACTGGCAGTGGCCCTCCAGAGTTACAGGCATTCTTCTTACCCAGGACTTGCAGGAGATGCCAGGGGTGGACTAGGGGGCTTTATAAAGGTCGTGAACCAATGAGCTATGGCCTTAATAGCATACTTCTTGAAAGGATCAAGAATTTTTATTTGAAGATAGTGCTCCTCTCTTAGGTCCTATATTAATGTAAAACTCTTACTGGATTTTACTTATCTCAGATAAGCCATGCATGGGAGGAAAGTTATATTGCCAGGAAGAAAATATAACTAGTAAAAAAAAGGTTATCCAAAAAATGTTCACCTTCCTTTTTGGTGGTTTAATTTCTGCTGTTCAGAGTTTGGACAATGAATCTACATGCACATACGTTTTAAGAATGCTACATGATTCAGTTTCTTTGTGCACAATCTCCTAGACATGGAATCTGCGCATATATACCCCAGTGAAATGCACAGTAGCAGAAGTTGCACATCAACAGTTTTAGTGGCTTAAGCCTGTTATGGATTTTATCATACACAAGCAGTAGGGACTGGAAAGTTTGAGTTCAGAAAGAGTTGCAAGAATTGCAGTCCTTTTTCTTGAGGAAAAAAGCGTATTTCATATTCCAAATTCAATTAATTGGTTATGTAAGGGATTAATGAAGTTCTGACACATCATTTTTCTTGGAAACATTTAACTTTTTAAGGCAAAATAAAAATAAAATCAATGCATAGCTTTAAACCACTCAAGTAACTGGATGCATTTCTCTTTCATGGATAACAAGAGACATCAAGTCCAGTCCAGAGAGCTATCAATAATACTAAATTTTCTTATTGCAGACTTTCATCAAGTATATAAATTATTATATACTGACCTGAAAAGTGCAGCCATAACGCTTAAAACTACAGGTACTTGGGGCATTAATACATTCTGACAAATGTGCATTCAACTGCAATAGGAAAAAGATGTGAGTTTTTTTTGACGGAAAATGTATGCACAATAAGGCTTTAAAATAAAGGGCACACAATATGGGTTTGCACTGTGTGGTTGGTTTGTTTTTGTTTGTTTCTTTTAAAAACATGTATTCATATTACCTCTAGTTGTACTTGAGGGTATACACATACACATGTAATCACAAGAACATTGTAATAGTGACACATTTACAATGAAACCTTATCTAATGAGCATTTCAGCCTGATTTTTAACAAGTGATTTCCCGCATGTATTTTCCATGGATTTTTGATTTCTGAAGACCAATTTCTCAAATGGTACTTTAGCAATGTTGATCCTCTAAGGCAACCACTCTTGATAATGGTTTCACTGTATTAATGCACATTCCTCTGTAACCTACCACCAAAATGTTTAATTCAGAACAAATCTTTCCAAAACATGTCATGCAGATCCCCGGTGAAAAGAATATAGAACAGAATGACAGAGACTTAGAACAAATATTGCATGAAACACACATATACATTTTTAATTGAAACAAAATAATGGGTTTCACAATTACTTAAGTAGCAAAAAATTCTTCCCCTCTTAGTTTATACAGCACTCTGGGAACTGAGCTACCTTAGGGTTAGAGGATAACAACAATGAACAAAACAAGTAAGAGGAGGAAAAAGGGCAAGCAGTTGAATTGCTTGTTCCATAAAATGCTTTAGGATATTTAGTGTAGCCTTCCCTACCTTGGGGCTGGGGAATGCTGGGAGATGTAGTCCCCCAAAGGCCACTGAAGAGCACAGGTGGGTAGAAGGAAGCTGTTTCTGCATATAGCTGAATGTGGCCTATTTCAGAGCCTGGGAATCTCACAAAGCATGTACAGTCTGAAGCATTTACTCATTGCCTCAGTCTCAACCCATTCTCACATTTGACAGGATGATTGCAGGGCCATAAGGACTTCTTGTGTGTATTAGACAGGTAGCACAGAAACAGTTTCAGATGCATTCTACAGAACTGGAACAGGAGCAAGAGCTATGTGGAATACCCTTACATTAAAATCACCAGGTATCTAGAAATATTTTAACGAACTAAGCCAGAAATTCTTATGCAGCAGAAGCTGCAGCAAAATCCATCCTCACAAAACAGACAGACAGCAATAGGTATCCCATAATTCTCAAGAAGCAAAAGGGGCATGAAATCAGACTGAAGAAAAATCCTTATTGCCATGGTGCAGCTGTCCTGGATTTATTTTCATAAGTCTAAATCTACCATAAAAAGATACGCCTTCTAGCATGGAATGCATTTTCAGCCAGGAGTTTACAACTTCCCTTCCTGGGGCTAACGCCATTTTCACCACAGTTCAGAGGAAGTTCAGAAAGCTAAAGGAGAGGTACCCCCATATTTTCGTAGCAGTGATTGAGGGTGGTACATCTACCTATGTTTCATTCTGAATTTTAAAGGAGCTGCCCATAGCACTGAGCCACGTGCGTTTTCCCCAGATAGATTTGTTGCTATGGACAGCTCCTTTTAATTGTAATTTCAGGCTGCAATCTGGAGTGGATACATTGCCCCATTTTCATCAGAGCCACCAGCCTCCTCTGCTTCTTAGCTTCTCTACCCTCCAGCAGAAACAAGAAGCAACATAACCTTTCCCGGCCCTATAGGCATGTCCAATGATTTGAGAACGGGGATGGAGATGGCATGGCCACAAATAATGGCTGACTAGTATACTAGGTCAGTTACTGTGGAACCAGATTTCAGATAACTTTATTTCTTGATTGATTTAAATTCAGCAGGCTTAATCTCAGCCTTGCCGTTTCTTAGGCTTCGTTAAATTGCACGTATGCTCTTCTACACTTACTGTGTAATGTATGAACTATCTGCCTATTTCAAACTTGGACAACTCAGGTGCTCCTTTAGAGTTAGTGTGCTATTTCTTCTGATTCTTCATCTGCAGGCAGAGTACATAGGAGCATAGGAAGCTGCCTTGTACTGTCAGCCCCATGGTCCCTTTAGCCTGGTAGTATCAACACTGACTGGCAGTGTCTCTCTGGTGTGTTAGAAAGGAATTTCTCCAAACCTACCCGAAAATATGGGGAACTGAACCTGGAACCTTTTGCATGCAAAGCATGTGCTTTGTCACTGAGTTATGGCCTTACCCAGAGAAACTGTCCATACAGAAAGCATGGATACTGCTCTTCTATTGCAAAGAGGCCTAATGGATTGTTAGTAACACTGAAGCCGTAACAGAATTAACATATTTCTAAGAGATTAGACTTGTTCAACCTCATCCTGAAGCTAATCTGCTCTCTTATTTGAGAACACTTCCTTGGTACTATGATCAGTATTACAACTACCAAGACATTATTATGTCCAAGGTAAATACTGAACACTCTTGGGGTTCTCCAGCATAGAATCATAGAAACATGGAACAGTAGAGTTGGAAGGGTTCAAGAAGGCCATCAGTTCCAACCCCCTGCTCAATGTAGGATTTCAAATTAAACCATTGCTCTCTGAGGCATCTTGAATGCCTCCAGTGTGGGAGACCCCACAACTTCCATAGGTAATTGGCTCCAACTGCTGGCAAGTTCTCCCTGATGTTCAGCCAGAATCTGATTTCCTGTCATTTGATCCCTTATTTTGTGTCCTGTATTCTGGGATCTTACCTCCATCTTCCATAGAGCCTACGAACTACCATGAAACAGGCTTAAGGATATTCTAGCAAATAATACCCTACACAGAGAGCTACGTATCATCCCTCATCACGCCATAACAAGTATTTACCTAACTAGTGCCAGAAATTCTAGTTCTTCTTATGTGCTGTAAGGGTGGAACACCACATTATCTTGGCCAACCTGTTTCCAAAATATGAGTAACAGTTAAATGGGGATTGTAGGAGTGGGGAGAACAAGAAGAGACAATCCATGGAGCAAGAATTGGGATGATTAGGCCTGCTTCCAAGGTATCTCCTCAAATGGCTTCTTTTTATATAACCAAGCTTATTTCCTGTTTTGAAGATGACTGGGGAAGTTTCCCAGAAAAAAGTTGCTAGATTGTTTTTTTTTTTCAATTTCTACAAACTTCTATTCTCCCCTACAAATATTCCCAGACAGAAAGCACATAGGAAAAATTAAATAACTTTTAGCTTTCTAATATGAGTAAATATCCCAAAATCAGATGCTTTAAAAACAGTATTTTTATCTCAGTGTCAATAAAAGGACGCTTCAGACAAAAAAGTGCAGATTATGAACTTCTAATTGCATTTTAAGACTACAGTAATAATGCTTTAAATTTCTCATGCTACCTAAATACTGTAAAGGTTACATGGTGCCTACAAGTTCTTCTCTGACACCCACAATAAATCAGCATTTTAAAATTGACTTCTCTCTAGAACTAAAAGAAGAAAAAGGGATGTAATCCAAGCAGATTTTTATATATATAAATCTGCAATATATCTTCCTAGATTTCCAGAAATGTCTTTAAAGTTGATCTCAGGAGTAGAAAGCTTGTTTTGTAAATATAACGAAGCTGCTTCTGGCAAATTTATTGCAGGATATTCTAATGCAGTAATATAGCACAAGATATTCTTTTATTTTTTTAAATGACTCTGCAATATGAACTCTTACCTCTTTTCTCAGGAGTGCAGAAACACTGCATTTGTGAGGACATGTAACCATAACACAAGGGCACTCTGCATCTTCATGTTTCTAAGAGAAAAACAGGAAAAAGCACACACCAAATACTTGAAAGTTCATAATAATTTTCAGAGGACATTATAGGATACCTTCTTCATCATTTCTATCTTAATAATCAGAAACTAAGCAGGGAAAAATAATGCCATTCATTACATATTTTAAGAGTGAAATCCTGTGACCTCCCACTGATGTACAGGGACACATAGCATTATCTGGAGCCTGGTGGTCCTGCATTGGGGGCTGAGCCCTTGCCCTATTCCCCCTCCAGCATGGAAGGACCCATGCTAGCTGTCTCTCCCAGGATGCCAAAGGCCTTGGAAGAGGGCAAAAAGGTGTGCCGGGGAGGAATGGAGGGAAAAGGAGAGCCAGTGTGGTGTAGTGGTTAAGAGCATGGGACTCAGACGATCTGGGTTCTAGTCCGTGCTCAGCCATGGAGCCAACTGGGTGACTTTGGGCCAGTCACAGACTCTCAGCCCAACCTACCTCACAGGGTTGTTGTTGTGGGGATAAGTGTGGAGAGAGCCAGCGTGGTGTAGTGGTTAAGAGCTGGGACTGGGACTCAGGCGATCCGGGTTCAAGTCCCCACTCGGCCATGGAGCCAACTGGGTGACTTTGGGTCAGCCACAGACACTCAGCCCAACCTACCTCACAGGGTTGTTGCTGTGGGGATAAGATGGAGGAGAATGATGTAAGCTGCCTTGAGCCCTTTGTAGGAAAAAGGCAGGGTATCAATCAATCAATCAAGTTTACAATTGGGGTAAGGTTAATTTATTTAATATGAATATCCCACCAAGGTATTTTATCGCTGCTTTATATATTCCCGAAATCTATTTCTAAAACCTCTATGCAATATTTTGGAAATGTATGGGACATGTCTCCTCCTTGGATATTATTTATAAAGGAGTGCTAGGTGGCAATAGGTTCAATTACTGCACCTTTTAGCATCTGTGAACAGGCTACCAGTGGAAGTGCTTCAGCTCCTCCTGTGTTGTTGAAGGAATTAACTGGATCTTTACAGGAAGTTAGGCCTACGACAGCTGTCGATAAATGTCATTTGCAATGAAATAAAATGGACGCTCAGTAAGTTAGGAATGGAACAGGGAAGTGGAATGCTCTAGGTAGCCCAGCGATGTGAAACTGCTGTTGCTGCTCTATGGACCGTTTCAGTGGATTTAAAATAGCAGCCAATTCAACAAACAGTAACGCTTGGTGTACACTGGCCACCACACTGACTGCTTCAGAAGCAGTCAGTTGCCCTGCTAGCTTGGGCATTGTGCTGCGGACAAAGCGCTGTTGAGGCATGCAGTGCTGGCAGGCCTTTGTGGTGGCTTCTTTCTGCTTGCAAGTTTCTGCCTACACAAATTCTGCCCTTGAAAAATCGCTGATAATTGCATATGTTCATGTGGCTCTAAATTATACTTCTGTGATGTGGGAATTAATGGACAGATGGGAAAAGTGGCCTCTGAGAAACCTAAGGGGGAAAAAAAGCCTGAAAAGGTTTTCCTTATCAATTTTGATCTCCACCTTTCTACTGAGAAAAATGACCCTCCAGGCACAAAGGATTAAAACAGTAGTAAACCAAATGTGTTAAAAACAATGGAAAACACAGCAATTACAGAATAAAAACAACATCTAAATCCAAGGGCCAAAGATCTGCTTGCACAAAAAAAGGACTTTACCACCTGGCTGATGGACACCTGAGAGGGAGCAAAGAATAAATGCCCACCACCACTCAGTCATTGGGTCAAAAGCCTTCTGCTCTTGTTACATTTGAACCAACACCCCTAAGTCATCAATTATGCCTGGATTATTATTTAGCTTAATGATCTGCTTGCATTAATGTATATATTCAAAACAGAACAGTTGACTCTTTACCCACTCTTTTTAAATTTATGGCTTTGTGTATGGCTATGCTTTTCCATTAAGTTCCTTTGGCTCTTGGTAGCATTTGTTATAATTGACAGGCAAACAAGGTAATTTCACCTTCTGGATATAGTGTGAGGTACAGTAGGCAGTGCTAATGTTACCTGCAATGTCACGCTTGTGGGACCAATTCCGTTTCTCACGTTTTGAATGAACGTGAAAAGTTTTGAATGTAGGCCCTATCTTACAGTCACCTGCAATGGCACAAGGGACTTGATCTGCCTTAACTCGTGGTCCTAACTCATGTATGTAAGCCATGGCCTTTCCTACTTTTCATGGGCTGATGTTCCTTGAGGGTAAAAAAAGAATCTTAGAATATCCAGGTGGCAATAGGTTCCCTGTAATCAAGCACGTTTAAGGTACTGTTGCCTTACAGGGACAAAGATGCAGCAATGCTCAATGTTTGCTTCTCTTTCTTTTCAAATACACTACTTTGCTATACATGCAGCAACGCAGCCAGTCCATGGAGACACTAGGATTTGACTGTCTTTACAAAAAGCAAGGAGCCCCATAAGGACATGAGTTCTATGTCCCCGCCATGCTATTTTGTTGGCCTTTTCTTCACATCAGGAATGAAAGCACTTCCACAAGTCCGGGCACCCAATCTCCCCCAATTCCTCCACCAATCCAAGCCCTCAGCTTCCGAGAGGATTACAAGACCCTCCAGAACATGTTGGAGATGGGTGCACAAGGCTTTGGTAGTTTGGAAGAATTTGGGAGAAATTAGGTGTTCTAACAAGTGGAAGCACTTTCTGTTAAGGAGAACCACTGCTGGATACAAGCAGTGGGGTTTTGTTTCTCATCTCCTGTTTTTCAAAAAAACCCATAACATAACCACATATAGGGCTTTGGGGTTTTCTTTCCTCACCCCACTTCACTTTAAGTGAATTGACTATCTGGTGAAGAAAGAGTAGCTTTCAACATGTGCCATTTTAAGTGGTAGAGAACCACATTTTTACCTGCATCTATTAGAACAGCTGCTCTCTAGCATATGCACAGCAGTTCTGCATTTACTTGCGTGTTGGTTATTTTAAACAGTGAACAAAATGAGAACATTAACAATCAATGCTGAAGCGTTCCTTTCCTCAGAAGTATTCCTTTAACTGAAAATCACTCTACTAGTTGTTCACCTACAAAAGGGGATTTCCTACTTTGCAGGGCATGCGGAGTTTATCCATTCCTAAGTCAGAACAATAAAAAATAATAATTTGCATAGCTCTGATTCCCCCATTGCAGAGAGAAACTTGCTTTTCAGTTTCATTTTTAGGGTCACTGAAAAAATAGGCTTCTAAAAGAGCAGCTGCTTTCCTCTCATCCGGAACAAAATTTTCTCTTTCCGGCCTAATTTTCTAGAACTTTTCCCCCCACATAAGAGATGAGGGACTGTCCAGCACTGGACAATGTTCCACTGTGCATGAGATCAGAGCAGGTTTTAAGAAAGTACTTTTGTTATTACATGTTGTCAAGTTACCTCCAGCTTATCCTTCACAGTTCAGTTCTTGCAAGCTTAAGACTGCGACTTCCTCTCCATCTCATAGCTGCACTTTCTTGTTTCCTTCTCTCTCCAACTTTCCCTAGCATTACCATCTTCCCCAGTGATTAAGCAAGTTGGGATTCTTAACATTCTAAACAGTGCTTGCTGGGGAAGATTCTTCCACATCATTTAAAAGTTTTCACGTTACTCCTTTTTTCTTTTTAATAAATGTAAAGGACACACTCACCTGTATCATAATCATTGGAACTTGGCTTTTACAATATTTACATGTTGTTTCCCGATATTTACAGGTCTTTTCAGCATGGTCTGGCAAGTCTCTTCTCAGTATTTTTTCGTTACAATCTGCACGAGGGCATGGAAGTTCTTCAAACAGACAGTCGTTTTTCAGATGTGTCTGAAGCAAATGTACCAAATCACTGAGTTTGTTTCTCATCTACTTTAGCCAGTAATAATGAATCTTGCTATGTATATTTAAGGAGAACCTCCTCCCAACAAAAAAAATGTGAAAACACTGCTCTCCCTTGTTTTAGCCAGAGCATAAATACAGGTATCTTTATGTTAAAGCCGTTATTGTTACGTCAAGCATGGAACCAAGTAAACAGAACTCAAGAAACTTGGCTACCTGTGTTTTTATCAGTTTTGTAAAACTGGTTTGATGCTAAAGTTTAAGACAAACTCCTAACACTTCAACACTGGTGCCAAAAAAATAAAGGGGATTTCCAGCTTTGCTCAACATGACTTTTCATAAAAAAGAATGCTATTAAATATTACATTATAGAGATTACACAAATGTTAACCACAGAGTTCCAAACATTTCTTTTTTTCCCACCATTCTAATCCATCCTTTTGATAGCTACAAAAGCACAACTTCTGCCAGGTTTTATAGGATAACTAATATCTGTCCTCACACTGCATTAGAAGTTGGTTTACACTATTCACCACTCTGAGATACACTTTCTTCTGGTGCATTAGTTTTAAACTGGTGGGTCTTAGTTAAGATGGTCAGTCTATTTTCAGTCTGTGTTTATGTTGCATGTTTGCTCATAACTCTATTCCATGCCATCTTTCCATGCCTGTATCTGTGAATTGCTCTATGTTCAAAAATAACATTAAATGGCATCTTTTTGCAATGTGCATCTCAACACGTATTTTATCTCAAAACACCATTTCTAAATGCTTTATTATTTTTTTTTCTTTTGGAAGATGCAGGCCACTTCCTATCAGAATCCAGTGACTGAATTCGTCAAGCAACCCCAATTACAAAAATCAATTGGATTGCAATCTGGGTCTAGGAGACCTCAACCAGGCAAGTAGAAGAGGATACTGGGAGAAAATATTGTAAGATAAAGTTGAAGGCGACTGATCTGTTCTTCAGACAAGGCACCAACACTTAATCCAACATTGTTTTACATTTATGACATTCAAACCCAGTGGACATCAGCTTGTTTACACATTTCAGCATCAAATGTCACAGCGTTTAACCTTCCAGAGTTGAAGGTATCTGCGACAATGGGCACATTTGGAATTTTGAGTGTTGCGGGTTCTCCCACAAAATGGCCACCATGGAGAACTTGCCCATTCATAAAATGGCTGCCCTGTGGGCAACTCCAATCACAAAACACTTCTTTTCCAAAAGGCAAACTGGGCAGGCTAAATGCAGGGTACCCAAAAACCTAACCTAAGAGGGTGGGTGGGCTCTGCATCACAAAACACAAAACTACTTTTTAGACCTGGATAAGGAGGGAGATGAAGGGCAGAAATGAGTTGGGGAGTTACTGCAAAATGCCTCACTACTTACAAGCAACTGTCCCAAGGTTAATTGTTCTCTGCAGCCTTTATTTTCATTTCTGCAGAATATCTGAAGGGCAAGAAGCTCCCTCCTACAGCAATTATCCTTAAATATCTAGAATCAAGAAATATTGAACAAAGTTATAGTTGTGTTCCAAGCGCAGCCATGCTTGATTCAAAGGACTATGTAATAGACAATGGCTCATACAGTAGTCATAACAATACAACTCGCCAGATGCGCACAAAAGGAGGAAAAACGTTTTCAGAACAATCTCTCCGGGTCTGAGTGCAGTGGCTGCTGTTGTCACCACAAGCTGATGGCTATAAATCAGGCCACCCCCACCCCAATTTCTGCATGCACAGCAAGGCAACGATATTGCTATGATGTGTGATGTTGCTTAGAAGGAAAATTTTTCATTTATATCATGTTCTTCTGTGCCATGTATACATGTCTGAAGGCTGTCTGCATTTTCAAACTTGTTTTGTTCAAAGTCTTTGCTTTTAGCAAATGCACAGGAAGGTGTACTCTTTGCTTGGCCATTCAACCCTCTGCAATGCAACACAAGCCATAATTTATCAGCCCACCTTGCAACCAATTTATTTATTTCTATTAGATGGATATCCCGCCTTTTTTTCTTTTAAAGAACTCAACATGGCTTACATCAGTCTCCTCCTCCTGCTCTATTCTTTTCCTCACAACAACCCTGTGAGGTAGGCTGGGCTGAGAGTCTGGGATTGGCCCAAGGTCAGCCAGTGGCTCCATGGCTGAGCAGGGACTAGAAACAGATCACCTGAGTCACAGTCCTGCACTCTTAACCACTACAACTACACTGGCTCTCAAAAGATGAGAGAGAGAGAACACTCTGAGGGTCTGTTTTAAAAGTAAAATACCTTTGAAAATATTTTGCTTGTTACCTCAAAATCTGCTGGTACAATCTGCCCTTAAAGCAGCCCAGTTAGAAAGAAGACGTTTAGCTTCAAGAAAAGTATCTTGTAAGCCAATGGAATCTTCAGACAACCTTGGAGACTAACTCTGTGTCTGCAACACTGGTCAATACTATCAGCAAGAGAGAGCCACAATTTCACAGAAATTGACAATTTGCTCCTCTCTACTCCTTAACAGAGCATTGAAACAGTCAAGTTCGTGTGAAGCTAACAGAGTGAGGCGTGGTCTATCTTGGTCTACCATTTCCTTTCCTATTGCCACACTTAAGTGTTTGGTACTTTAAAATGAAGGTACCAAACAGTCCAACAGCTGTATAGTCTGTTGGACTGTTCTCTACTGGAAAATGGAAGTTGAAGGAAAGCTGCACCTGCCCACAAGGAATGCAGCAGATTGGATTTGACCTCAGCTCTGCATCGTCAACCTGTATCCCTCTTTTCACTGGGCTACCTGGACTCAGACTCAAGACCTTATTTTAGACTGTCTGCACAAGGAAAGACCCTGTGCAAAGGTCCCACGGGGTATGGAATAGGTTTTATGATGCAATAAAATGTATGTGGGGTAATAAAAATCAGCCACTTGGGAGAAGCAAGAGAATGCTGCAGCAAATAACATTCTGTGCCCAGGAATGCAATAAGACCAGTTCAGGAACACAGAGCCACTGAAAAGGGAAGAGTTCAATTAATCATGACATAAAGAAATACCAAACAATGGTGGAAAAATAGCTTGGAACCCGTCATCCACCTAAAGTTAGAATGATCAAGCATTATCACAAACTCTTCCCTTTATTTATTCCTAATCCAGGCAAGAAACCTGTGCCACACATTCATTTGCTTTCACAATAGCTACACATCAATTATACACTGTTGTTTACAATGGAAAAGAATGAACATGATCCAGAAAGAGATGCTGAGATGTTGGTGTACCATCTACTCTTAGCCACGGCAGATAAACAGAGCCTTCATGTGTTTCCCTGTGGGCTTCATAAGAATGCAAGAAGAGACCAATGGCCTATCTAGCATTTTGTTTATATAATGGCCAACCACCTACCTGTGGAAAGCCCTGATGTAGAAAATAGGTACCTAGTATTCTCCCAGGCAACCGGGATACAGAAGCATGCTGTCTCCAATAAGAGAGCTAATTTTTTATGTGGCTGTAGCCCACGATCCCAAAGGAGGTGCACCTGGTGCAGTCATTGTTCCCTTCCAGGGACCAGGTAAAGATCTATGTGCCAGATGTTTTTATAGATAGATAGATTTAAAAATTGTTTTTACGCATACTGTTTTATGCCATCTATTAATTTTTAATCACCTGGACTTGTCAGTTGTTGTGTATTGGGTTTTAATCGATTTTATTATTTGTAGTGATTTCTTCTTATTGTATACTTTTATCCTGTAAACCACCCAGAGAGTCCTATAAGATATGGGGCAGCATATAAATGTAATAAATAAATAAATGAAATATAGCCATAATGTGTAGTGATGAATGAATCTGTCAGTTCCAGTTCCTCTCCACCTCTCATTTTTTCCAACCTAAAGTTTTTGTAATAAATGCTGAGATTTTATTCTTTCTAGAAGTTTTCATGGATATTCTTAAGCAATGTTTTCACTTTTCTCCAAATACATGCACTTTTTGCAAACAAGTTTCTTATATAATACATACCTGGAAATTGTTTTCTCTAATTTGTGCATATTACATATTTTATTGGCAAACATTACTGCAAAATTTGGGAAAGCATAAGTTTTGAAGGATAACTGAGTCACAGTTCATATAGTGGTTTAACAGTGTGAAACTATGCCAGTTTACCTTAAAATGTGAACTAATTTCTCCAGTTTCCTTAATCATTACTAGTAGCCACTGATAGCCTTACCTTCCATTAATCGGCCTAATCCCTTTCAAAGCCACACACATTGGTGGGTATTACTACTTCCTGTGGTAGTGAATTCTACAGTTCAACTATCCTGGAATTACTTGGCTCCCAAGGACTCTGGACTGAATGTTCCCACAGATTGTTCTGAGGGGTTTTATATTTTTAGAAAAATCTATACTTTCAGGCCTTTCTTCCTGATCACGGATCTAAATGAAACATGATCCCATTCTCAAAATGTAAAGCAGCCTCTCTAAGGAAGTGTAGGTAGGTCTTTAATGTTTCTTTATATTGTGGGTGGTGATTCTTCCCAGCCCAATTTGTGACTGAGTATAAGCAAAGACCAATTTTCCAAGGCTATATGATGCAGGTCATCTCAGTGCCTCTTCCACTAACTGGTGAACTTAACTCTTCATTGTTCCCTCAGAAGCCCTTCTCTTGAAATCCTGAAAGTATGTCCTTCAAATTTTGTATTTGATTTGTACACATCTGAATTTGAGCTCCACTATCTTTGAAAGCAGATTTTACCCCTTCCACTACCTATTTAGGAAATTTTTAGGAAACCTAGCCATATTTCACTAACAGAACAGATGCTTCTGACACTGCTAATTTCAATGATAATGAATGTAGAAGCTTCTTAAGGGCAAGTTTGCTCTTACTAGACACAAGATGTAGAAATAATATTGAAGTAAGATGCACTATAGCCTAAAGAACAAGGATTTTTAAAAGCACTTTTTGTATTTTGAATATAGCAATTAATAAATCACTTTGCTGAGAAATACAAGCTGAGACATCTTGTTTAGCAACCTTTTACATGGGTATCTAAACAGCACTGAAAAATCAGAGAAGCCTTCTGGAAACATATGTAATTAGGTGGGCTTCTCCATATCTTATTTCTTTTAAGATATAAGATTGGCTACTCAACCAACCTTCCTTTTGCCCATTTGTGGAGACTTTACACAAAGTTTATAGTGCAAAAGATTATACAATTAAAGAAAGCAAAAAGTACAGGTATACTCCTTAAAAATCACGTGTCTGTATGTCAGCAAAGCTGAGATTTTATGGGAGGTCTAGGAAGAAGCCAGAAGAGTCCAAACTCTGAAAAAGATAATCTGTGCGAGAATTGTATTCATGAAAAAAATAAGAAGCCAAAGATGCATTTCCAATATATAAAATCACATTCTTGTTATATAATATATGGATATCTAATAAAATAGATTTGTGAAGCATAACATCCTGCTACAAATTACTGTTGTTATAATTTAATGCTCACAAAAAGTAATGGGAAGAAGGAACTATACCTTATCTTTCACTATTATTTCTTGACATGCTGTACATTTTGGGCTTGTAGAACTAGAAGAGAAAAAACTGATCTTACACCAGAAACTGTTTACATAGATGTAACATTTCATATACGCAGGCAAGTGCTGAAAATAAATCAAGCAGAGGTCAGTGCATAAAAATCATAAAAAGTCTGAGAATATGCTGGTCCTTGCAATTCACACACACGCACACACACACACACACAAGACATAACACAGGCCTTAAATTTACTAGTATACTTTGAATCTCAAGAATTCATTTCTGCAAGCGGAGTTGCATTACTACTCCCTCCTTGCATATTTCTACACCATATCTGCACATTTTTCTGCCAACAATATAAATTACCCTATTACTGCTATTGGTGAAGGTTTATGACATAAGGAACTGAAAACTGAACATTTTGTTAAAAGACTATGGTAAGTTACTTCTTAAGTGAGCTTTTCAGAGCAAGGATACACAAGTTGTAACCAGGGCTTATATTATAAGAATGTCTATCAGAGACACTGCAGCAACACCCTTGCGAAAACAGTGCACAGTGCAATACCATTGCAACGCTCTATTCATGCCACACCAAGCCATTGGTTGTCAGTTTTAGATGGCAGCATGTGGCCTCCAGATGTTCTAGGATCATGACTCCCATTATCACTCAGCCCTGGCTATCCTGTCTGGGATGGATGGGAGTGCAATCCAACATCTGGCAGGTCACAAGAGGCCCACCTCTGACTTAGAAGAACATAGCACTGGGTGAAAGCTACTGTTGCCTCTGCATAAGGGTACTTCACAATGGATCACCTGCCAAGCCTGCACAAACACAGCTATGCATGCCTAACAGTCATTGGGACTAGCGAGTGCTTCCTTCACCTCCACCAGTGTTCAGCTGGATATGCATACACCAAAGAGGTGCAATGCAATTGGACATAACTATCAACAGCACACCTGCCTGCACCACTCAGAGAAGTCTAGCTTTTCTGCTTTCTTCTAAGGCACCAGTGCACAGGCTGTGTACATGCCCTGGTTGAAGCCCAAACTGTCTCCTGCTCCATGGAAGAGTGAGGTTTCAAAGCACTGTAGTTGTGCAAAAGGTAGGAACTGCTTCTGTTTGCGATTGGGTTCAGAAACAGTTAAATTCAAGCACACTCATTTTGACAAAGGTAATCCTCATCTTTTAAATGAGCTCATGTTAAGACACATCACATTTCCAAATAGCTACTCCAGATCTCTTCCTTTCTTTAACCTCTAATTTTATGTCCCTTCAAAATAAGAATAATGCTGGAAACTGTACTCTGCATTTGAACAAACACCAGATACAGCACCATTGTCTTTTAGCCTTTATTGAATGCATTCAAGCATCCTATTTGCTCTTTTAAACCACTGCTGCATACTGAGCAGTAATCTTCACAGAGCTAAATTCAGTGGTTCTTGTATCTGTATCCTCAGATGACCCAGAGAAAGTGTTAAAAGTTCCACAGCACAATTGCTATACGCTAGCAAATAGACAGGGCCTGAGGAGGAGACTGCTCATACCAAATGCCTCTCATCCAACACAGAGAAATGAAAAGAAAATATTTTGTGCACATTTCATCCTTTTCACAGTGCATGAGGAGGTAGCTGGGGAATCAGTCTCCAAGGGCAGCATCCAACAGGGCACAACTACTAATGGAAATTCTGTTGCATGAGCACACTTTACTGCAACACCAATAGCATTAGCTAGTGTGCCAGCAAGCACTTTTGGCATGACAATGGAGTATGTATAAATTTATTTATAGTATTTCTATACCTCCTTCTTACCAAGAGTCTCAGGACGGAGTAGTTTATGGTAATGCAATGTAATTTACATTAGCAGTTGCACCCTGTTGAAAATTGCAACTATCTTTTTCCCTAGTGGATTGTACCAGATTTTCCTAAACTATTTTATCTTCTCTATGTTGGATCTATTAATTTCCCTATTTCTTAAGCAGGCAGGGTAACAGTTTTCTACTTTAAAAGCAATTATCTAGTAAAAAACAAATTATTAGAAGTCCCACCCCTTGTAATAAAAAATCCAACACAGAGACTTTTTTCAGTAGGAATCAGTAAGTTGTGTTTCTGATGTCTGCATATTTAGAGTGATGGATCAGAAAAGACATGGATGCTTGGTGCTGTGCAAGACGCTTCACAGCAGCAGCCTGCAGTAAAAATGCCCGAAACAACCCATCACTATACAACATCAGACCCACTACAAAAACCCTGAGCTGGGTTGCCTTCACTTCCCTTTTTTCTTTTGCATCTGTACAATGTGAGTTCCTATCTATCCAAAAAGATGTCAACTGTTTAGCATGCGATTCTGTGGGGATGCCCATCAAGCTCCAAATTCATAGGATTTCAGGCACCTTATGCAGGGCAGAAAGAGCGCGGAGGTGAAGGTCGCCTCCATCCCCCCAACACTAAGCAGCCAATTTCAGCTTTCTACGGACCACACTTCAGTGCAGGAGGCGTAGTTCTAGCTTGATGGCACCAGTCTCCTCCCCTCCTTGCCCCCTAAATCTCTTCTCCAAGGTTGTTTTTGCAATGTTGGAGAAGCAGCTGGCTAGCTCGGAGATGTTAGTCTCTTTCATGCATTAGTTCTGTCAAATACCTGTCCGAAGAACCACCAGCATCAACTTAGCAAAGATGCCATTTCAAATTCAATTGCCTTTTTAGTGTTTCTAAGCTATTTCTTCTTTGACTTTGGGAAAAAAAGGATTGCCCGTGGTAATTATTAGGCATATAACATACCTTCTTAGTCTCACTATGATATCTCAAACACAAATTGACAGCCAAAATGTGTGGTCACCAACCCCAACTTTCTCCCAATTCCAGGGAGGGGCTGCATCTCACATCCACTTTCACCCTGAGCTTCAGAAGCACTGCAATTTTCTTGAGAGCAACTCAAACCTTATGTAAGGTCAAAAGGGAACCCAGCCTCTGCAACATTAAAAACAGGTGACCTGGTGAGACCATTTCTGGAGCCCCACATACAAGTTGTGGTGTTTATTCTGATTCTTAACCTTTATATGTGTAATTCATAATATGCACACCTGTTTATTGGAGAACCTCAACAAGAAAGGGTTCATATTTGGAAGGCAACACCATGATTCCAGGATGTTTAAACTTCTTCACATAATGTAACACCAAGGAAGACTCACCTTAGCAAAGCACTGATGCAGGTCTCACAATACCGATGACCACATTCTGTCTGCCTTGGATTGCACAATATGAGATGACACTTTTCACATTTGTATTTGTCCTCCACTGCATTCACAAATTTTTCTTTGTAACCACCTTGTTCTGGTATATAAATAGCTGGTATGGGGCTGCGAACAGGATTTGCCTTTTGTTGGACTGTTTCCATCGACACTGGGGGATCTGTTTTCTTGCTTGCATCCATGTTGCAATTGATAAATACTATAAAAGAATACACACACATGCACACAAGAAATGATTAAATGCATAAAGAATGAAACAGAACTTCTTCTATCTATGCAGTTGTATGAAAATGCATTTACAGGTCACACACACGTGGTTGAAATTCTCCAACAGCACAAGTGTGGCAACAAACTGAGTACTTAGAAGTGTGCAAAAGCACGTATCCTCTCTTCTTTCAGTGAGCAAGTTCACACATGCGGGTTCACAACTTGAGAACCGTAACATCAAGCGATGGCTCATTTCTCTCACACAGTGCTTTTTCGCTGAGGTTGTTCAAGCACTGAGCTGCTACTGACATCGTGAGAGGTCATAAACTGAGCTTAAGCAAGGGCCCTGTAGGCCCCTACTCTGAAGGTTGCAAAGTCTGATTAAACCTGCTGAAAAATACTCTGAGCAAAGCTTACAGCAAAGTTTGCCGCGAGTACCAGTATTTGCTTTGAGCTGGATCATCTTCACAGCTCCTCAGAGCAAGGGTCATTATTAATGACAGGGAGGACCAACATTAACGGCACGCTACTTTTACCCTGTCACCAGTCTTGCAAGTTCTGCTCAAGAGCAAATCGATGGTGTTAAGGGACTGAAATATAGCAGCTGTCAACATACTACCGCAAAACGTGTGACCTGGTTACCTCTTGTTTATATTTGTGCAATAACTCCGTCACTGGCCTTCCCTTCTGTCCCATTTCTGCACTTCAGTCAACTCAGAACGCCTTGATCTTAGATCAAGGTTGACCAGTTCCTAAGAGGCAACATAACAAGATCTTCTTATAACTGACAGCTAGAGGGCATAAATTAAATTTGCTGCCATCTCATCCTTCTCAACAGCCCTGGCTGTCACCGATATGCTTTACCTCTGACTCCACCCTAGTGCTTACCAAATCACACTGCAAGCTGAAGAGAGCAGCAATGCATATTCTCCATTAGATCTGTCTATCAGCAAAGGTTTCATGCACCCTCTTTTCGCTTCTACAGTTTTGATTGAAGGCTGAAACTATATTTTTTACAGTATTTAATCATAGTGAAACATTTCTCAAAGCCCAAAATATGTGAGGACTACCTTTCTAATCATTTTGCCATCATAGTAGGCACGGGGTCCTATCTTCCCACAGTCTTTCTGTATGTCTCACATATGGCTTACTCTTCATTACAACCAAAACCACATTCAAGATCAACTTCTGCCTTTATTCAGTTGCTGCACAGATAGGATGTTTCATTCCAAACAAACTTTATCATTCTGAATAAAGCCAAACACTGCTTGATTATTTTAACAGTTGTACATATATTTGTGTTATATGGCTATAAATACTAATTCGTCACAATTGTAAGTGGAATAAATTGCTCTGTAAACACTTAGATAACTGGGGGCTTCCATACTGTAATTAACACAGTCATCTCTTACAATTTCACTTTCAGGATGTAACTATTAATTAGACAGTATGTGGCAATAATTGGCCAGCCAACCACTATTTATTGACTGGTTGAATGGCCAAGCCTTAGACTTCTGCATCTTCACCATTCCATCCACATTAGCCACCTCAACCCCTGGACCAAGCAACCATTCCAACAAGGAGCATTAGTACACCTTTATTATTGAATAAAATAGTAGCAAATAGTTACACAAAGCCACAGAGTAACAGGTGAAATGAATTAATTATAGAATTCCCTTCCCTTTTCTATTCCCCAGTGCCTAATCTAGATAAGACTAATCTGTTTTCAGAGTACTTAAGGGTTAAGTAGTTTTATTCAGTTGGTTTAGCATTTCAACCCCTTTCAAAAGATTCCACTGCTGAATGAATCATGGCTATCACTGTTTATCCATTTTTCCACATTACTGTGTAATTTATTGTAAGTAATTTTGTGGAATGCCTTGAAGCTTTGTGCTGTATCCAATACTGGACATCCACCAGTGGAATAAAATTGGCTGCCAGAACCTGCTTCCCCTTACAGTCCTTGGGGTATTGCCCACATCTGCTCCAGCAGGTTGAGAGACCCTCTGGAACAGATAAGATGGGCTCACAGGTAGGCTGCAGCAAGAAGAAAGCCACACAATGCAATAACAGATTTAATGCTTTAAACTGAGAAGCAGGATAGAATTATAAGCAAGTTTAGCTGGCATACAATTCCCAAATGCAAATATGCCAATCTCTTCTCCAGAGGAACACACTTCTCCATAACATTGCAGTGCACTCTGTCCATCTAATTGTATTCTGCTCAAGTCGACCGGTTCTCATTCTGATGTTATCACTCCCTGTTCAATCAATGTATTTCCAGCCTCATTTCTGCTGTTGTATGAATTCATCAAAACACATTTAGAACCATCAACTCTGCCCCACCATCCATATACCAGCTGCCCACACTTACTACCACCTGCTTCATTTTGATTAACCTTGTTAAGGATTAATTCTTACACCTAATAACATTTCAATTCAGCTTGAGAATTACAGCACATGAAACTGAATTGGTACTGGATGTTCTATATACTTTGATTTTTATCACATGAAGAATTCAAACATATTTGCCATTTTGAGTACAGACATTTCTGCAGGAAATGTATGAAAAACAAGCACTGGTTAAACATAGGAGGGAGCCTGAGATTAGTCATGCACAGAACTGTTGTAAACTGCCCAGAAAACTTATGTATGTGAGTGCAGATGGATGCAATTTTTGTATTTATTATATTCTGCCTTGGCTAGTAAGGACCCACAGGACTAAGCTCACTTTTCATTTTGGTTGACAGTCCTAAGAAAATGTCATCTTATGGCAAAAAAAAGTGATCCCATCATCTTAGGCTGTCTTTTCCTATTTGCATGGTTAGGGATTTATTAGCAGGTGAACAGCAGGGGGAAAGGGTTAAGTAGTCCCTCCCATTACTGACTGCCAGTCCCAGTTTTTCAAGCTTTTATTTCACTTTAAACAAAAGCTCTAGTAAGAAAGAGATGAGGGACGTGTGCTGCATTGAGTTCAGCCCTGAGAAGCAGTGGGAAGGTCAATGGTTGATTTAGGGACTCATCAAAGGAGGCTGCTGTGAGTTCACCTGAGCAGATGAGATCACCAAGAGAAGCAAGCATGGGCTTAACAAGTTTCTCCACTCTTAAACAGAGCATAAATTGGGAAAGAGAAGGTTATATGAGAAGGTGATGAAGGAGTGGTTTATAATTTAAGGAGACTTGAGAGTATACAGGATGTCAGAGACAGATTTAAGGTTTGCAGCCTTCTAAAAATAAGAAACAGAACTGCAGTATGGACCATCACCACCCCTTCTGACAAGCAGCATGTTGTTATTTGGAATAGAAGTACTAAATACACCAGAGAAAGTAGTAAAACACTTTTGGAAGAGCGTTTCGATTGCTTTTTGAAGACTCCATTTACAGAGACAACAAACCAAATTGAGAAAGAGCAGTCTTCAAGAACTTTGTATAAGCTACAGGGTCAGATTGTCCGCTAGGAAATCATATTTCATATCAATTCAATATATAGCAACTCAGGGTTCCATTTTATGAAAAGACAGATTTCTAGAGAGCCATCAGAAAATACACTGGGAAGATATTTCTTACCAGGAAGCACAACAATAATATAGAATGCCCACACATGGAGCAGAGGCACACTGCATTCTTGGCACTACTCCTGAGTGGCTACTCGATCTTGATTGCAGTGGGAAAGGGGAAAAAAGATGCACGGGGCTTCATCTGCTTTGTGGTCTTTGCATATGAGCATCAACATTGCATGGGAATTTCCAGTGAAAGAAAGAAGCAGTGCCCAATATGCTGCATTTCTCAATGGAAAACAGGCAACCTGTTATGCAAATCTTTAGTACGAAAGGAGAACAATGCCAAAACACATCGATCTGCCAAAATGCCAGATCATCCTACTCAGTCCAATAAAAGAGCTACAATTTGGACTGTTATTTGAACTTAAAATGGTCATTCCTTGCAGAATATCATAACATGTTTTTTTAAAAAATCATCTTTAATCCACAGTACTTTGTATGCCTAATCTCAAATCATACTATTTACAACAGCAGTTTTTAATTCTGCTAATCTGATCTTTAGGGCTGAACTTTTCCAAGCACTTGTGCAAGCATTTTAACCGAGAAAATGAACTTTTCTTTCCCGTATACGCTGCCAACAGCATCCATGGAAAGAGCTCCAGAAAGGTCAAGTGAAATAATATTAGGGTGCTGTTGACTAGAAGCAGTAAGGCACTGGCTTCCGCTTGTGGGAACCCTGGCAGGAGAGTGGGGCTGTGGACATAGCCTGCTTCCGGGCTTGCCAGGGGCATCTTGTTGGCTGCTGTGGCAAGCATGATAACGGACTGGCCTCTGGTTTGACCCAGGAAGCCTTATCTCAAGTGCGAGAAGTCATCCCAAATTCTAAAGAAATCTAACTGTAGGTTAGAATTGAAAACACTAGGAAACCAAAAGCAAGTTGTCCTTTCTTTCCACTTTGTACATCTCCAAGAAACATGACATGACACCTCCGGCATAAGCCAGTCATCCAATGCTTTGCCATCACTAAACTCGGCCAACTTTGCAGGCAGTATATTGACAGGGCCATAATACCAGAGAAAGGAGGTTTGGCATCAACGGATGCTCGATCTTGTGTGAGTGGAGCCTGCTGCCTGGCATTGGCAGGGAAATGTCTGGTCTATATGTGTTTGCAAGTGTGTTTCAGCAACACAAGGATTCAAGTCATGAATAATGGCACATCTACTATAGTCCAAGGTAATACTATTATTTCCTTTGCACAATACAAGAACTTACCTGTAGAATGGAAGAGGAAAAGGGAAAGGACATCTAAGTTTGAATAGAGAAGATAAGGCAACAGAAAAGTAAACAGTGAAGCAGTTCCAAGTTGATGCAGTCAAACAGGGAATCCTTTAACCTATAGGCAAAAGAAAATTGATTTAAGATCCTATCCAAATAAAGATAGGTCTGTGTTTTTCATTTTTAAAAACTTCACAGGATACTCTCCAAAGAATACCTAATCAGATTGCAAGATTGATTCCCCCATTCCCACTAATCAATAGCATTTGAACATGTACATTTCTTAACACTGATTTCGTAGAGTTATCCTTTATATTGCTTCAACTATAAAAAGCACAAGTGTGCCTTTGCGCAACCGTCACTGGGGACAAGGGCAGTGGGGGACAGTTGCACTCATATCCTGCCTGTGGAAATACGTGGGCAGCTGGTTGTCCACTGTTTTAAAGGAATGCTGGAATAGATGGACCTTATGAAACCAAGCCATTTCCTCTTCAGGAATTTCTTGTGCCACAGTCTACCTACTACAGGCTTGCCCACGTGCTGCTTTCCTGGTATGCTGGACTCTGGAGGATATGATGATAATATAAGAACCCATGTGGTATCGTGGTTAAGAGCACAGGTAAGATCTGAGTTCTAGTCCTTGCTCAACCATGGAGCGAACTGGGTCACTTTAGGCCAGTGAGAGTCTCTTAGCCCAACCTACCTCACAGGGTTGTAGTTTTGGGGATAAGATGGAGAGCAGCAGGAAGAGAATAATGTAAGCTTCTTTGAGTTCTTTGTCAAGA